TCTATTCCCACATCCCTCACTGCTTCTCCTGCGGCTGCCAATCATGCAGCAGGTAGGAAAAGGTACATCCTAGCATGCATAAGCCATTCAGAATGGAAATTTTGAAAAATACAGTGGGTGGCAGGCAGTAAAATTGACGTTTGCTTTCATTGAAATAAAGTTCATTTTCTGACAAAAATCCATGGTGGTTTAGGACTCCAGTGTTATTATTCATGCTTGGTATTGGGTAATCTTCAGCACTGGGGAAGCAGGAGGTGAATGTCAGGTACTGAGCTGTCCTCATACATCTATTTGTGAATTGGGACTAATGCTGCCAACACTGGGCTCCTGTGGATGTGTAGCCATGAGCCTGATTTTCATGCAATGGCTGCATTTAAGTTGTTATCTAGTGGTTTTTTTCCCTTGGATTTCTTGCAGCCTTCCTTTTTGTTAAAACAGCTCATCCCCACGTGCTCCCTGAGCTGTGGTGCTGAAGACAACAGAGATTGCAGTTCTGTGGTGGAACACGATGTGCAGTTTCTGTTGTGTGCCAACTGGACTGGTATCTAACATGCCAGRATTTCTTAAAATGCGTTACACAGCTACAGAAAGTAAGTGATGAGGAGAAAATGATGCCCATTGCTTTATCTTTCATGGGAGGGGAAGAAACCAAAAGAGTGGGAAGTAACTCAAAAAACAGCCACAAAATCCTGGAGGTTTAGTTCCCTGAAATGGAAAGCTTTTCAAAGCTCCTTTCAAGTTTTCTTGGTTCCTCGTTTTTTGTTCCATAGTGACCTTGACCACAGGCCAATAGTTAGTACCTGAGATGACTGGGGCACTAGTTCAACCTAGGAGGTGTTTTGAACATTAGAGGATGGGCTGGTTTTCTGTCCAGGAGGTGTGGAAATTCTTTCTTTACATCATGTTTTCCATGCTTTGCTTTGAGGGATGGCWTTGTGAACATCTCCCTGTCTCAGCTTTTCAAGTCTGGGCTTCAAGACTTGATGTAAGATCTTCCTAAGCCCTGGGAATACTTGAAGAAGCTACCTGATCCTATTTCATTGTCTTTCCTCATTTCCAAAGCAGAGATTTGACCTTAGTAGGATGAGGTAGTGCCTGAGAACTGCCTCTTTTTCTTTTTARTTTTTATTTTAAGATCACTTTCCATTCTCTAATTAATTCCATTAATTAATTCTCTGTTACCTTGCCGTTCTGAGTTTAAATCTTAAAACTGTACTCGAAGTGCCAAAGGAGGTTTAGCCACACAATCACCATTTGGCATGGCAAATTGAATGGCTAAGCCCCTGCATATATGCAGCAGGCTATACACTGCTGGGCAGATTGTATAACTGTTCTTCATAYGTTGAGCAACCCTTTGCCGATTTATGTACATATGTAGGTTCATCCTTTACCAATTTCCTGTGACYAATAGCTTTCAGGAGATTAAAAGAATAGCCAGTTCCTGTTTCTTTCTCTTCTCTTTATTTTTGTCCTTTAGCAAGAATATTTTTGTGTGTGTGTGTTTAATAGCATTCATTCCCTAGAGAATAATCTCAGTCTTTGTTTTAGCTGGCCTCCTTCTGAGAGTGTGTTAAATCTGTAGCCAAGATCACAGGCAGCTCTGGGCAAATCATTGGGCTGTTATTAACCTGCCTCCATGGCAACTGCTGCTCGCCAGCCTGAGGACAAAAAATGTTTTTATTCTGCTGAGTTGCACAAAAGGTTCTAGTGATGCCTTGCACAAAATGGCCATTGAAAGGGGAGATGCAGTGATGTGTGTTTGTGCTGTACAGTTTCATATTTAAATYGTTTTGCACTGTTTCATTGGGAGTGGATATACAGCTCAACATTTCAGCATTTTGGCCATATGGAAAGTAAAAATGAGCAAAAAATTGGAACTGAATGTACTTTATACTACTTATTTTTGTCGGCTTGAGTTCACAGGCCTTCAGCCTGCAGTTGTCATCYGACCATTAGCAGGTTATTTTGTGAACATGATCTAGGCAAACATCATCCTTTGGTTTCAGTTGTACAGTGTGAAGACATTTGCTGACTTGGAGTTACAGAGAGAGAACATAAAGGTTTCCTGGAAAGCTTTCTAGTTGTTTTCAGAAATCCTCTTCTTTGCTTTAGTGCTTGTTTGGGAAGCTTGGTAAGCATATTTTAATTCTTGATGAGCTTCAAATTGTAGCTGGTTTTGAAAGCTGCTCTTAGCGGTACTGTTTTAGGCTTGTGTTAAAATTATAAAATCAGCTATATTGCTCAGGCTAGGCRTGGCTTTAATCTTGCTCCTAAAGAGTGTTCACAGTGGGATCTGGGGGGAGRTCTGGCAGCCCCAGACATGCAATGAGCTTATATCCCACAGTCAGTTACCCTCTGGCAGGAGGCTGTGCAGCTYTGCTGTCAATTTGGGTGCAGAATGAATATGTGTGGATGGATGCTGTCTCTTGGAAACATGCTGGTTTGGGATGCTTCATGTGCTTGCAAGCTGACTGTGTGCCACTTCCAGGTGTGCCAAAGTCTCTCTGATTCCTGCTTTACTCTTGGGGTCAAGGTGAGTAGTTCCTGCAGTTCCACATTTGGGCATTTTTCTCTGCTCAAAATAATGTGGTTGCTTTAGACACCTTTGAGGGTGTCCCTTGGCATTGTTCTGTGCTGAGAAAATGAAGGCCACCCAAATCCTGTGATGCCTTTTTAGTTCGTCTGCAGAGGAAGACAAAGARTATGGCTGCAAAGACAATCTGTGCAGCTGCCAGTCACTGAGAGGTGAGAGGGGGTTTGCCACTGTTGCTGTGTGTTCGAGGGTCTGTGGATTAGTGGCAGATATTGCCATGTGTTTGGGTAAGGGATCCAACAAACTCCTCAGGGCAAATGATCTGCCAGTGGCCTGGAAATCTGGCTTGGCTTTGGTGGGGTATTAAACATCAATCCTGGGTCTACACCAGTTTTCTGTTTTGTCAGGCTGCTCCCATTTTCTGAAACCAACAGCTTTTCTTTTGGATCTTGTCAGTTTCTTGGTTTTGCTTCCAGCTGTTTTTATTTCCTGTCTTTGCTAGGATCCTTCTGCAAAGCAGTCTGTGGGATCAGCACGATTGAGGTGATCAACCTCTCCTCAATGGTCAGGCATTTGGTCTCCCACTTTAGGAGAGTGGCCCGAAAGGTGGTTTGTTTTTGCTGGGCTGGGACCGTGTGTGCTGTCTGCTGGGTCAGAGCGTGGTTACTCTTGGATGATCTTTCATGGCTAATCCTGCACCAGGTGCATGCATTTCTTGGATTAACTCTGGGAGGTTTGGGCCTGACCTGGAGCAGATGCTGCGGAGGCGAGCCAGCCTCGTGTATGGCTGCTCTTGCRTGTGAGCTGCTCTCGGGCAGATTCCCCAAGGCAGAGGTTTGCTCTGCAAGGTCTGGTGTTTGAACTCAGCTCTGGACCCCTGTGGTAAAATGAAACCCAGAGATTATTTCCTCTGATAGCATGGATTTGGGTTTTGTTTGCCCCCTCACTGCCGTGTTTGTTCATTTTGCAGTATTTTTSTCATGAAGATAGTTACAACTGAGTGGACTCCAGCTGTGGGCTAGACTACAAAAGCTTCCCAGGCTTGTTTCTATACAATTAAATCTTGTCTGCAGTTAGTGAAGTGGCGCTTCATAAATCATTTTGATGGTGATAGCTGCTCAAGCCTGACTAGGGCACTTGCTAGTGACTCTCTAAAAGAAGAGTTTCTCACTTACGAAATGGGAAATCTTTCAATTATCGGATGCATATTATTCCCCAGTGCCTYGCGGAAGTGCCTGCTCTGCAACTCATTCATTAGTGGGAAAGRGAGGGGGATAAAAATAAACTTGCCTCATGTGGTGGCTGGAGACTTGCTGATCTTTGTGAGGAATGTTTTGGGTGGGAAGAAGTGATGAGATGTCCTCGTTTGCCTTCCAATGCTTTGTCCGTGTAGCTCCTCGCCGTAGCAGCAGTGGCCGTCCCGTGCCGTGCCACGCTGGCCGCTCCATTAAGCGTCGTCTTAATGGCTTGTGCTTTGCGCAGTTGTATGAAATGCACATTAATGGAGACAGCTTAATGCCATCACCCTGAAGTAATGAATTGGTATGGATTGCCATTACCATTATAGCGCAGTTAAAAGCCGTGTTTGTTTCCGATTTACATTTCCCAGCTTTCTAAGCAGATGGGTTTTCAGGCCACGCAGTTGGAAGGAACCTGGCAATTCAGCTGCAACCTCCTTATTGCAGTGTTCATACAAATAGCAGCTCCAGGGGGGTGTTTTGTTAATTCAGACCAGTTAAACAATGCATTTCAGTTGATYWTGCTACTGCAAACTGTATTCAGGGWTCACTGTAAATTCAGTGTATCCTACAAAAAGCTGTAAATGTATTGTCTGTGTAATACAGCTCCATACAACTGCCCTCAACAAAAATTGTTACTCTTTGGGCCCCATTCAATTTTTCAGTTGTTMAAGTATCTGTATTCCTATAACCTCCTGTGGAATTATATAAAAAGATAACTTGGGAGTTGTGGGAGAGCGTACGGCAGTTAAGTCTTGAGGACACAAAGGAAGTGCAAAATATCTCCTACTTCTCCAAAAGGCTCCATAGTCTTGAGTATGTGCCTCTCTGGCTCGCAGAGTGCTGTCAGCAGAGCTGGTGCTCCTGCTGTTAGCACTGCTGAAACATGGTGAGCTCTGGATGAGCAGCTGAATTGCGATGGATCACTTTAGACAGTGATTTTTTTGCTTTTTCCATTTCATAGGCTGTCTCATCGATCTCTTCTTGATCCTATAAAGACAGGAGCACTCAGCCCACTTTCTGGGCTTCGAGTCCATAACCAACAGATCTGTAGGTCACTGCTTTAGAGGGTGATGCTGTCTTGTACCACCTATAGATTTTTTGCTTAGCATGTCGATGCCTGGGCCTTTTATTCCCTGTGGCTTTTACCAAGTGGAGGACGAATATTCTTTTCCTCATAGTTTGCTTTTTGCTCATGACGTTTCTTTTGCTTTCTCTCCTCTGCTTAGGTTGCTTTGAATGTTGCATTAAGTGCCTAGGAGGAGTGCCATATGCTTCGCTCGTGGCAACCATTCTCTGCTTCTCGGGGGTAGCGTTGTTTTGTGGCTGCGGCCACGTGGCGCTCACGGGAACCGTGTCTATCCTCGAGCAGCACTTCTCCACGACTGCCAGTGACCATGCTTTGCTGAGTGAAGTGTAAGTATTCCTCCCATTCCCATTRTTCATTGTAACACCCTCATGCTAAACGAGCAGAGATGGATTCAAACGTCAGTCTCCATCCCTGAGTATTAGGTCACTTGTTTGTGTAACAGCACTGGGTCATTTATTGGTGTTCACAAACAAAGAGCCAAAATATCCTGGTATGCCTGTTTATATTGGCACCAGTACTATTTAATATCTTCATCAGTATCACAGACAGTGGAACTGAGTGCACCYCCAGCTGGTTTGCAGATGACACCCAAGCTGAGTGGTGCAGCTTGCTCACCTGAGAGAAAGGAAGAGGGATCCCTCTTCCCATCCAGAGGGACCTTGGAAGCCTTGACGAGGGGGACTGTGATCTCATGATGTTCAGCAGAGGCAARTGCAAGGTGCTGCACATGGGTCAGGGCAATGGCCAATATGAATTCACGCTGACAGATGAAGGGACTGAGAGCAGCCCTGCCAAGAAGGAGCTGATGGTACTACTGGATGAAAAGCTGAACAGGAGTTGGAAACGTGCACTCGCAGCCCAGGAAGCCAATTTTATCCTGGGCTGCATCAAAAGCAGCGTGACCAGCAGGGCAAGGGASAGGATTCTGCCCCTCTGCTCTTGTGAGACCTCACCTGCAGTGCTGCATCCAGCTCTGGGGCTCCTAAACACAGGAAAGACATGGAACTGTTGGAGCAAGTCCAAAGTTGGCCACCAAGATGATCAGAGGGCTGGAGCATCTCTCCTGTGAAACCAGGCTGAGAGAGTCAGGGCTGTTCAGCCTGGAGAARGCTCTGGGGATACTTCATAGCAGCCTTCCAACACCTAAAGGGACCTACAAGAGAGCTGAAGGGGGACTTTTACAGGGCTGTTGCAACAGAAAAAAAAAGGGTAATGATTTTATTCTGAGAGCAGATTTGTTTTTTTGTTGATGACATAAAGTTGGAAGGGATGTCAGGAATAGTAGGGAAGCTTCAGAAAAAGCTGGACCGGTATATGAGAAAAAAAAGAGAAAAAACTGGAAAGACGTGCAAATGCAGCCTTTGAACATAACCACTGGTGAAATATTTGGGTCTTCAGTGTTCCTAAGGCTTCTCTGTGGGGCCAGAGGAAGGCCTGGAGCTCTGCCTCGGGTCCCGTGTCCAGCAGCCTACCCGGCCGTGTGCTGTGACAAGGGACCCCTGTGACGAGCACTGTGGGCATGGCACATGAGGGGCTGCACGGGCAGCAAGCAAGACACAGCTTTAGGATGGTGTTTGAAGGCTTTGGTATCAGGGCCCTAGGCAGCACGCTTAATTCTCATTTTCTTTCCAATTTCTGTTGTCAYTGACTGCCTTTATATGCTCACAGGCACAGAGCAGAGTGCTGCATGCCCTCTGAGCACTGTGCCAGTCCCTCAGCAGCATTTTGGGGCTTCCCCTCTCCACAGAACCCTCTGTGGCCTGATCTGCTCAGGGACTCAGTCCCTGGCTTGGCTGGGCAGCGTGACCCCAGCTCCAGGGCACGAGCCACCAGTTTGGCACCATTCAGAAAGAAACTGTAAGCAGCTGTTCTTCAGGGTAACAAAACACCCTRTGCTTGCATCAGTCTCCATTTGAGCAAAACAGAAGAAATTGCAAAAGCAGCAGTAAAAGGCAGCAAGTTTTATGTTTGGGAGAGTTGTTGACAATGTTTCTTGTCAAGTCAGCACCAGCAGCTGGGGAAATGCATAATTCCTACCAAAGCAGCTCAGGGCTTGGCTCTGCAGAGCAAAGGGGTGGCAAAGGAGAGGGGGTGTTAGAAAGGGACAAAAAATTTAACGCTACAGAGACATTGCAAAAAAAAAAAAAGAAAGAAAAACATGTAATTAGTAAGACACTCTTTGGAATAGATCTTTCAAACCAGTTTTCCTACTGGTAAAACTGGTAGCATGCATTGAGTCTCCCCATGACTATTAATGATTGTGAAATGATTTCTTCTATACTCTCTCAAATCCTGAGTTAATTTTTTTGTGCTTTACAGCACAGGTGCAAGAGATTTATCCTGTTATTTTTTAATCATTTTGGAAAACAAACATAACACCTCCCACATAAAATTTTAAATGAGCAATGTCCTATTCTGATACAAGGGTAACATTTAACTATATAAATGGTAGTCATCGATTTTCTTTAAGCTAAAACATTCAGATGCTCTTTGGAGATCTATGGCAGCAGTTACGTAATGTCRCATGGCAAGAATTGGGAAAAAAAATCTGAGGAAAACGTGTTTATCCTTAGAAAACTGGTAATATGGATGTATAAAATTAACCTCACAGTTCTGTGAATACTGTCATCTAAAATAACCATCCCAACAATCAAATTCCTTATAAGAAGTTCTGGGGAAGGTGTGTTAATGTAAAAATAYAATTTTTGGGGACCAAAAGTATATGGAAGATCCAGCATTCTGGTCCTCTGAAACAAATAGCTTCAGATACGGAATCTGGTTGAAAATACTTGGAAATTATTCTTTCCATTTACCTATTCTAGCTAAAGGAAAAATACTGTGATTGTCACTGCAGATGGTAGATTTTTAAAGAATCAAGAACTTTCTCAAATAATGTCTGAGGAAAGTGCTTATACAATGTGTCCTGAGATGATCTTCCTCTGGGTGGTTCCAGAGTATCTAAAATGGAAGCATTTCCTAAATAATTCTTTCAATTTTTAAAAATGTATCAACATTTTGAAGTGCTCAACACYGCTGTGACTTAGAGCACTGAAGCTACCAGCTCACTTGGAACTCCCCTTCCAGGCTTAGGGCAGCCTCAGGAGAAGTCACTGCGTGTTTGCTGACTTTTGTATCAGACAAGTATTGCTGAATTTAGACATTTTTCCAAACTCAACTTAATTGGATTTCACAGGTGGAAATGGTGAATTTCAGGGATTGCTTCCTTTCCCTAAGGCAAAGGAAACCCCACAGAGCCTGGTTGTTCAGTCAGGGGTCAGCTCTGGGCTTTCCATTTCAAATGTCAGACATTCCCAGGTTAGATGTCAGGATCAGTAAGAGGAAAAAGAAAACCTCCATAGTGGAGGCATGAAATTGCAGCTTTAACCTGGTGACTGACACAAGGACTGCATCACAAACAGGGGATCTCAGGTGAGTGCAAGGTCAGTGCCCATCAGGATTGCTAACCTGGGAATGGGCACAGTCAAACCAGTATTTTCCTGCACACTGCTTGCTTAAAATGCTAAGGAGCCTTGAACTTTGTTTCGAGGAGCTGTCTCTCGTTTATTAGAATTTGAGAGGACTGACTTTGTTTTTATAGGGCTGAAATCTAATTATATAATTCTTTTCTTTTCAATTTTAGAATACAGCTAATGCAGTATGTAATTTATGGCATTGCATCATTTTTCTTCTTATACGGAATAATCCTTTTGGCGGAAGGTTTTTATACAACAAGTGCTGTGAAGGAGCTGCATGGAGAGTTCAAAACAACAGCCTGTGGCCGCTGCATCAGTGGAATGGTGAGTGGGATCAGAAATGGGAACAGCAGTCTTTGCTGGCTAAAACCTGTTGGGCTCAGTTTGATTCCTGGGTTTTGAGTAACAGAATATTGCTGCCTTCTTTGTTTAACTCCTTGTGGGTGGTCAGGGTCAATCCATGTCTTGGTCCTTCTTTGAACTTCAAATTTGGTCAAATCAAAATGCTGCAGGTGGGCTGGGTGGGGGCTGCCATGGCCTCCCCTGGCATAGAGCTGAACCCACTGGTCTAAGCTAAACTGGGGAGACTGCTAATTTTAAAACACTCAATGGGAGCCAAAATGAAATTTGTGCTTTTAAGCACAGAACACTTCCGTGATGCTTAAAGGCAGACTGTAAAATGGCTGTGGTTTGCAGAGCTATTTAAATATCAAACTGTAATGGCTTTGACTTCCATAGTCAATTGTGCTTGAGTGTCTGGATCCTTCAACAAACAGTAATGAATGAATGAAGCTTTGCAACATCTTTGCACTTGAATCAAGTATTGATTTGCAGATGGCAAAAGGCAGACAGATAGAACAGCGAGGCTTTTTCGCAAAGCCAAAACACTTAAAGCCCTTAAGTTACCAGCCATATTCTCTTCAGTATACTTCTGTATTAGAACAAAATTGTAAGCAAAGTTTAACTAAAAATAAAACTTCAGATTCTCACCCACGTTGTCCCCAAGGGCACACTCTGCAAGAACAGCCATAACTATGTTTCTGAGAGAAGATTTCAAAGCTATTACTGAAAATCTGAATTCAAAGCTCGTAGTTGTGGAGGAAGCTAAGCAGTATGACAGATCGCCCAYGGGAAAGTGTGGGTGAAAAGAGAAGAGGCTTTTGATGTGATTGTTGCATTTTAATATACAGTCTATATCCTGTACTTAAAAAATATGTACTTTCAGCTGGTTAAATACAAAAGAGATGCATGTTTATTTTCAYGAGAGTTAGCAATTTTCCACTGTGCTGTTGGGTGCTTACTGAATTTTTCAAGAGGTAATAAAAATAAGGCATCTGATAATTTTCCAGTTAAGCAGCTATTTGCTCACTCTTTTTCTAGCAAGTATGGTTTTCACCAAGGAGCAAAATTAGATCTAAAGCAGTGTTTTCAAAAGATCCAGGATAAAGTAGAAACATACACATCCRTGCATCTCATCAGTGCAGACAATTGCTTGTGCAGTTGAGTAGCTGCAGGCACATGATTGTCAGCTGCTTATACAAATACCAATGTGACACATGGAAATATGGCAGAAAAAYGTGTTTTCATGTTTGTCCATATTTGCCCACACAATGAAGGAGAGAATTTACCAGCTGAGTAATGGCYTGGAGCTCTGGTAAGATGGATTGGTGTTTGGTGGTGGCAGAAAAAGTGCCTGTATGCTGCTGTGTAAAACCTTAGGGCTAGAACAAGGTTTGTGAGGAGATGGAATATTTAACAGACTAGTGACTGCAGCTGGGCACAGGCAACAGGCTTTTGGACACAGAGAGATCTTTTGTCACTTTGGTCAAGAGCTTCTCTACTTCTTTCATTACATTAGAGAGCAAAGTCCTGGAAGGCAGTCACATCTTGCATAAGGTTTTTACAGAAGAGAGACTTCCATCTTCCCTAAGTTATTTGTCTTGGCTCTTGTAATGCAGAATAACCATTTCCCACAGTTATCACATTAAATGTGAGTGTGTATTTTTTCCTGGCTATTTTAGGAGTTAAAGGCTTTGTGCACTTCCTCTCATGCACACTTCCACAGACACGTATGCAAACTCAAGCTTTATTTTGTAGTGTATCTACAGAAATCTTCTAACCTGCTCCTCTTGGTCCTTCCCAAAATCCAAAGAGATGATTCTCAGTTCTCACACAAAACATACAGGTCTGGTATAATGGCACTATGATACGAAATAGGGTGTTCCACTTGAGTTGTCTATAAATTAAAGTCTAGCTAGGGTTTTATGGGCCACAGTTTTGCAAGCACTTCCACCTCCCCACTCACGGCCTCTGCTGACAGAAACCTAGCCAGCTCTTCACCTTTTGCTCTAACACTTTGCAGGGTTATTTGGTATGTCTGGGARAAAAACTTGTGGGGATGCAAAGTTCCACCACTGCAGGGTTAGTTCAGTCTCTTGGTTCTGGGTCAGAGAATCCTTCCCCCTGAGAGCCTTTCCCATCCTTGCTGTTGTCCTTTGGCACACAAGTTTTAGATAAGATAGTAGAGCACCAGTGCTTTAGTGGAAGTAAAGCCTTTCCAGTCCTCCTACAGCTCTGAGGGAACAGCTACAGCCAGGAGTGTAAAGAGAACCCAGGAGATGTAACAGTGTTCCCCCGCTTCCCAAGTAGCATCCAAATCCTAATCTCACCAGGAGGAGGGAGCTGGGAACTGATGCCAGGGCTACTGTTTCACCATAACACTTTGAAGAGGAGGGAAAGGGGAAGGGGCTCAGYGGGAGGAGGAAGCTGGAGATTTCCAAAGCACTCAGTGCCACATCTTATGATCTTACCAAAGAAAAAGCACATAATGTAGTTCGGTTTTTTTAAAGGGCAAACCCAAACCAGCAAATTTCAGTGGATAAATCCATGATTCTCTAAGGTGAAGTAATTAATTTTCTGCTTGACAATGTGTATTAGATCAATTGAATCCTTCTGATCTGCTGTTAACAGTCATGGTATGTTTGCAAAAATATGTATTTTCAAATGTTACATTCCAAATTGATTTCAATAAATTAKGGAGTATGGGAAGCTCTGTGAGCATTGATTCACTGTGTGGTTTTGATTTGCAACTTGTATAGAAATGCTAGTATGTTATAGTTAATTTAAAAAAAAAGATCTTGTATTGATTTTTGTTGGAATTTATTGGTTTTAGCCTACAACCAGCATTCCTGCTTAGCTGAGAATCTTGAGAAATCAATGGGCTGCTCTTTCATGAGGACAGTCTGTTTCCTCAAGCAGGCTGATGAAAAAGGAAATGTCTGAACTACTTTCTCAGGGGTACTTAAACTACCAAAGTATTTGTAAGCAATGAGAATACTGATTTTGTGTGCTTGGAAATCAAATGTTTTCTTACTTCAATTCTGAAAGTACGCTCAAAGATTAATTTGAAGTGTTTTTAAGGAAAATTTAAGTAGTCCTTCCAAAGAATAAAGACAAAGTGTTTATGTTTTCTCTGCCCAGTTTGTTTTCCTGACCTACGTGCTTGGAGTGGCCTGGCTCGGGGTCTTCGGCTTCTCTGCTGTGCCTGTCTTTATGTTCTATAACATATGGTCAACTTGTGAAGTCATCAAATCTTTTCAGACAAATGTGACGGTTCCAGGGGACCAGATCTGTGTGGACATCAGGCAATACGGTACTCGTTTTAATCCTGATTAAATGCTTCATCCTTTCTCCTCGCTCTGTCTTCAGTAGTTTTCTCTCAGCCTTATCAGATGAATCAAATGCAAAGGCATCTTCTGTCTCTCAATGTGCTATTACTTTTCTWATTAATTCACATTACACTGATCTCTTTGCAGATGCAATCAATTTAACTGAACTGACAAGTCACTTATATGAAATGATTTTGTTGYGGTTTCCAATACTGTAATATTAGGTTTGAAAATAGATCAGCCTCTAAGTAAACTGCTTGGGAACACTGCTGAGAAAGMGATAACCAGACTGTGGGTTTTGAACCCATATGCATATATTCTGTTCTTTCAGAAAGCTGTTTCACATTTAAAGATGAAGTAAATGTCTGAACATTGCTCTGACAATTGCTTTCAGTTAAAATAAAAAAAACAAAAATTTGCAATTAAAAGTCTGCCATAACTAATAATTAATTAATAATGCTTTCTGATGACKCACAGAAATCTGAGGCAGCTGGGACAGTAACTTAAAATAGGGTCAGGCTTTTATTTCTTAAGGTGAGTTTTTCCTGAAGTTAATCTTTTCGGCTTCCCTTGTGCAAAAGATCTTTTGTCACCATTGCTTTTGGCTTCATTCTAGCTAGCATTTTCTAGGAATGTTTCTTTCTTTGGACTAAATCATTCAAAGCTGAGAAAATGGATTCAAAGTTGAAAAAGTAAGAAAGCTTGGCTTTGCTCTCCTGTCCGGGTAAGTCCAGTAGAAGAAAATATACTTATTGTAAAAGCAAGAAATCTTCAAATCAGTTAAACATTTGCATTCTATTTTAGCAGCTCACAGSAAGAGGCTGGGAAGACATTTTCTTCAGCAGCAAAGCCTAGGATGGAAGGGAGATGTGCTCCTCCACCTTCCTGCTTCTCCTGGCTGTTTTGCAGCTGTGTTAGTGCTGTGTAGGGCTGCACTGTTCCCCTGATCAGTAAAGCYATTTGGGTTTCAATGCATGATGAGACAGAGCAGCTCCCTAACAGACACAACACGTGCCACTGAACTTTCCTCAYGTTTTTGGGTGGAAGTGGTAGCTAAAAGGCTGGAATTGTACATAGCAGTTGCAGAGAAAAAGATGACTTGGAAGTAAATCCTATAAAATCTTTTTCAAAGCTGTGCCATCCTGAGATAATTTCTATGACCGGCCGCTTACAGAGTTGCTAATTCCAACCAGCTGGGTTGAAATGCAAAGTTGTATGGGGAAACAAAGTGGGTTTCTCTKAATTCAAATGGGTTTTTCTTAAGCTTTACATCTGTTAGAGGCCTAAAAGTTTATGTTATTTTAAATCTGCTAGATTCTGTTGACTTTTCAGACTTCCAGTCATGTAAGAAAAGTAATTGGGAGTATATGAGGTGTGGCAGAGTGAACTTTCTTGTAGCAGTGTTCACTTGATGCTTTTTACCTATTGGAACTAAACCAGAAAAAAAATCCTGTAATCCTTCCCTCTAGCTCTATATTCACACCTTCTGCAGTAGTTTCTTGTTCAAGTAGAACCTCATCTAGTAAGTGCTATCCTGGAAGGTGCCAAGTACCTCTGAGGTGCAGATTCTCTCTTCTGTGCTGAGTGGGGAAGTAGGCAGAGTGTGCAATTGGACCCAAGGTGCAAAAACCCAACCAACTGGCTGCCAGATGGGAAAACCACATCTGAGAACATGCCTTGGCAGCAGCCCTCAGTGTGAGGRGAAAGCACAACTTGAGGGAGCTGTTTTAATTCCTCCTGCCAGCTCAAAGCTGTACTGGTCAACACATGGATGCCCAGAATGGAGAACAACTGGCAAGTGGGTGGAAAGGATGAGAGAGGAATAGAAAGTGTGTTGATTGCTAAAATTAGTGGTTTCTTTTCTCTGGTATTTCAGGTATTATCCCTTGGAATGCTGTACCTGGCAAAGCCTGCGGCCCAATTTTAGAGAACATCTGCAACACGAATGAGGTACAGAAAYGTAACCTGTGTGCAGCTTTTGCCTACAAGTCACTTGGGCACCATGTAATAAATASCTGATGAAAGTTTTTGGAGAGAACTCCTATCAGTAGATTGCTTTAAATATAGCACTGAAGTAGTTGTTACATCATCCAAAAAAAATTATTTTCAGAACATTTTTTTTCCTAAAGCTTTGCTACCATGCTACAAAGATGGTCGTATTATTCTTATTCTGTAGAACACTTGAAATGCATTTTATCCTCTTCCTAATGAATTACTTCAATGTTTCTAACACTTTTTTTCTCTAGTTCTACATGTCTTATCACCTGTTCATTGTGGCTTGTGCTGGAGCTGGTGCCACTGTCATAGCATTGGTGGGTAATATTTTTTGTTGTTTTATAATTTAAAATGTTAATTTTAGGCTTAAGATGCTTTAAGATTAAATTTTGTATATATTAAAAGTAGTAATATTAGACATGAAGGAGGGTGAGCTGTAATCACCATTATTTGCTGCTATGGTTTAGTCATCACGTCAGCAGGTCCCCAACTTTTGCTTTAAGTCATCTTAACCACCTTCTGCATACTTAGGAAAAAATTATTTGCATGTCTTTTCAAAATCCTACTTCTATCCATTATTTCTTCTTTTATTTCCACTATTTGTTTTCATTTTTTTATTTTATTTGATCAGCTGCTTGTAACCTCTTGGTTTCCTTTGTCTGGGCCCAGGCAGATTGAYTGGTCCAACCCTACAGTGCCAGTTCCAGGTAGTGGCTGGGAAAAGGGACATTAACAAGATGACTGTTTCCTATGTTTAACACTTCCTTTAGTGGCCAGCTTCTAACCTTGTGCCAGCCAAGCCCTGGTGTAATACTCACAACTGTTTGCCAAAATAGCCTTAGGGTTTCCACTGGGTTATCCTCCCCGGAGAAATGGCAGATTGTTTATCTTGCATCTTCACCCAGGAAGGAGCTCAGAGTAACATCTGTTGTAAAAGTATCGAGAGTTGCCCAAGTGGGCTTGAGCCGTCACCTTGTTGTATCTTACTCTCCTGTATTTTGTTCTCTTCCACCAGCTGATCTACATGATGGCTACTACATATAACTATGCTGTTTTGAAGTTTAAGAGTCGGGAAGATTGCTGCACTAAATTCTAAATTGTATAAGCCCAGTAAAAAGCTGCATTGCGTAGCTTGAAATACCACTGACACCCTAGACTAAAAGTCTAGCTTTCTGAATTTTGTCACAGTAATTGTAAATAGCTTCAGTAAGCATCGTTTAGCTTATCAGATTAATGAAATGATTCTTGTATATGAACTATGATGTGGACGAGATCTGGCTATTTTTTCATGTTGAGAGGATTCAGTTACTGTAGGGGTGTTTATAAAACATCCTTCTGAAAAGGGGATGTTTTCATTTCAAGTCACCACTTGATTTCTAACAGTCATCTCAAACAAATACTGGAACAGTTCAGGGTCAGATGTATTAATTTATTCTTCACCGTGAACACCAAATACAAATACCCCCAAGCATACAAGATATATATGGTGTGAAAGAAAAGGAATAATAAAGTCGTGCCAGTCTATTTTGGCAAAGATCAGAAGCCCAGATATTATGATTTAATCTGCTTATATTTCCAAGTGATTCCATGCATGATGAAATCAATTATTTTCTCTTACTCTGAGTAATTGCYGAATTATACTCTTTCTCTAAGAAAATAAATCCTTGTCTTAGCTCTGCGTAAAACAATCACATTCTTTCTTTTGGACCCTGAACTAGTAAGAAACAGCRTATAAAAGCATATAAATAGCTTTTGTTCTTGTGTGGCTGCACTTTAGTAACTGATTTCTCAGTAGCCAGGTCTCAAAAATGTAAGTATGACTGCACGGGAAGCAAAACCATGCATAGATCACAGGGACCTTTTTACACTGTTGAGGGGAAAAAAGAAGGAGAAGCAAATCAATGTTTTCAGATGTAGATGTTTTTCCATGATGTATGGGGAAAGAAGTTGGCAAGAGAYGAATGCACAAAGTAGAAAAACAAACACATAATAATTAAAAAAGGAGAACCGTTTGCTATATACAATATGAAACTCTTCACCTGAGGTTGGACAATGGAAGTTTAAAATGTAGCTATAAAAATACAGGATTAAGACTTCTTAACCCAGAGATTGCATGCTTTTGCTTAGTTTTGGACTCATGTTTTGATGTTTAATTTTTCGATGTGTTAATGTAGCCTTGTTCGCGTAAATAAAACGGTTCACAGTTTCAGGTTTTTTTCCAGGGGGAGGGTGGAATTCTCATCTGCTTGTTGGGGGAAAAGACCTGCCGGGCTCTGGGCTTGGATATGCATAAACACCACGACCTTAGAACGCAGTTCTTCTGAGCACCTCGTAGTTTACAGATTCCGTATATTACCACGTACAAAACTGTTTTCCTGCTTCCCCCCATTCTGCATTTTAATTGACCCGTACAACTCTGTAGCTCATTTTAATATTGTTGTACTAACTTTCTTAAATTGTGAATAACCAACTGGATTATAAGCATGCCACATTCTAGAGATCTTTGAAAAATAGCCTCTGTGCTTGTTTTAATAACAGAATGCTTATTAACGTAGAGTAACTATTTTTTTGGTCGTTATTTTAAAGAGCGTCTATTAATCTGACTAGCAGCTTGCTTTGCCTCTTGACATGCTCACTCGCCATCATGCTCACCCTTCTCTTCCAGATCCACTTCCTCATGATACTGTCTTCTAACTGGGCCTACTTAAAGGATGCAAGCAAAATGCAGGCCTACCAAGATATCAAAGCAAAAGAAGAGCAGGAGCTTCAGGATATCCAGTCTCGGTCAAAAGAGCAACTCAATTCTTACACATAAATGTTTGCCACAGTAATTCAGCAGAAGAGTTTTGTAGCTCTGACAAATCAGCAAATAGCTGCTCTGCAGTACAGATGTGTTTCTACCAAACAAAATTAGAGAGAAGTGTAAAAACTTCACATTCCAGCTCCTGGAAAACTTGGTTAGGGAAATCTTCCCATGGGTAATTTCCATGCTTTCTAACAGAGAATGGAGGGCTTATTCCAGGCATTTTAAAAGGCAACACTTTACAAAAAGTGACCAAATTATTCTTGAGACTTTTGGTATTTAGTATTTGATTTGTTGTACAGCATGACACCGTGCACAAATGGCAGCAGGTGCCCCAGCCGAGCAGGCAGTAGATCTGTGCAGACCTCAGGCACAYGCACGGTGTGTGACTGAGCACCTCCCAAAGGAACCTGTGTCCAGCTGGGATTGGTGAGAGGAGCTCGTGTTTGTGTATGGCASAGCTGCAGCACCTCCCAGGTTGCAGGGGGGCTGTTTGGGAACACCCCATTCCTGGGCCACGGGAGCAGCTCCACTCCTGTGCCACACACATCCATGAGGAAGCTGTCACATCCCTGTGCTCACCTGAGTGTTGCACAGATGTCCCAAGTTTTAATCATCTGTTTATTAACTATCTAATGGAATGTAGATCCCTGGATCTGGATAATGATCCCCTTCTTTGAAAATAAATGTCAGCTTTGCCTTAATATTTATTTTCTATAAATGTCTTAGCATTTATATAGTGGCAGGAGACCATTATCCTACATTTTAAGTAAGTGAAAGTGTTACCTTATTAAAATGACACTGATCTGACTATTCCAAATGAGCGGATGAGAAAGTTTGCAGTTTTACACAATGAAATTTGCAGCCATAAAAATAATACAGGATGTCCACCTTTCTCTATCTTGGTGCTTAGCAAATTTATAGTCAGTGCTTATGTGTTTTCCTTTTTACAAATTAATTAGCACACTAAGAAAACGTGGTGTTCAGAAAAAAAAMCAACAACAAACAAACTGGTGCCATTTTAAAGTCATTTCCCATAGAAGTCTGCCTTCTAATTAATGTTTTTTTCAGAAGCATTCAGTGATATCTTGAGTATTAGTGATGGTATATTTGGTGTTTGTTCTATATGATATATATATATATATATATAAATGTTGGGGGGGAAAGTAAAAATACATCATTCATTTGAAAAAATTAAATATTCAAGTCATACCCCTGCTAAGCTGACGTGTGGTTTGGTAGTTTTGACTGTTTGCTAAATATACATCAAAGGAAGCACAAATTCCTTCAAATCAGTATTAAGAGAAAAGGCATTTTTGGGGGGGTATTAACATCAAATATAATTTCTTTTGTTAAATATTGAAGTCTAATTTGACAGTTTCAAAAAAGGGGCAAAGTTGATTGATGTAGAGCAAATATGACAAAATAGCCTAGTGTATGTTCTTACCTGTTGCATGAAGGAGACATTTCTACAGCAATGCAGGTGATGTTCTAGCCCAGTGTTTGCATAAGGGTAATAATGGAGGCAGTGTCTTAAAGCCTAATTCTTTTCTAATTCAGTGTAGCTATTACTGGGAGTTTTTGAAGTTTTGTTTAAGTAGTCTAATATTTTTATGTAAAGAGCATTAAATTTTGCTATGTATAAATTTTTGTAACCTAACAGTGAATCAATATTTTCTATCAGTGCCAAGGGCTTCCTGTAGTTACATCCAAGTGTTAAAATAAATATTTGTAGATAATAGACAACACTTGTGTATGCTTATTTGAAACCAGACCTACAGCTACTCCATGGCAGTGCATCTTTAGGCTTTATGTCTCTATCCGAAGTGAAACATTTCTGTTCCGTAGCTCCCCTGCCCTCCTGCAGGTGCAGCTGCAGCAGCAGCTGTGTGCAGCATGCAGTAGTGGTAGTTGTTCCAGGCCAGCATAATGCAACAAGCACTACCCCTTCCCAACACTGAACAGCAGCAGCCTCTCAGAAATTCTGTAAAGGCCAGAGCGGCTGCAATGGCAAATTAAGCAGCATGTAAAATTAGAGTAGCCACCACATCACATTCTAGCTTCATTTCAAAAAGCAAAGTTTGTATCTGTCACAGTTTTGGTACGTTGTGTTTCAACATCCAGTGAATTCAAGACAGAACTTTGTTTTTTGCCCCTAAATTCTGTCAAACTCGGCTTCATGTTCTTGTAGTTAGGTCAAGATGAGCAGCCTCAAATGCAGTGCAAGTTGTAATATATGCTGCCACCTAAAATTACTTCATTGATAAAAACTACTGTATTTTATACTGTAAATAAAGTTTAATGATCTTGCCTATAATCTACCTACAAAATACAAAGCTTAAATAAAGATGAGTTAAATAGCATTTTTATTTTAATCTCTCCATTCTGGGCTGGTTAATGCCAATGAGGTGATACATGAGAGGGGCTGCTTGTGGCATCAGAAGGGGCACATCAGTTTGGGTCAGTCACACTCAGCGCTCTGAAACTGTGAGCCAAGTGCCTCCATGGGACACCTTTAAAAGCAGGTGATGAGGATGGAATGTTTTGTTACTTTCACCCACACTTTGAACCATCTGGAGAAGGGGTGTGGGGGTGGGGGTTGGTAAAGCYGACAAAGTTAAGAGGAATTCGGTGCCAAAACAAATCTACCCAAACATWCTGATCAGTGTCTGTTCCCTGCTTTGTTCCTTCTCTCACCCCACCCAAGGGCTTCCTCCTGGATTAGTAACAGATCAGGACTCACTGTTTGAAGTCAATGATGACTGAAGTGATGAAACGGCTCAAAATCAGCTTTATTAATTTATAATTACACAGCCTGCAATGTTGGTGCTGAGCATTTATTACAGGCAGAAAGCTACTTTTAAAACATAATTCTTATAATAATAAAAATTGAAAAATCAGTAGCTATTGTTCACCAGAAGCTTTCATCCACATCTCCATGAGAAATGTCTGCAACACTGTATTGATGATAGGAGGGAGGAAAAGAAAGTGGTGTGAGTCCAGAATAGTTTCTCTTAAATCTTAGATCTTAATACTCATTTTAAAAAGAAAGGTGGAACTGCCTCTGCTCCAATTCTCTTGCTGATTCAGTGAACTGCTGGCAATAACCCAGGCCTTTAAGAGGGAGGACCTGGGTTTTCATTAACTGGAAGCCATCACCTATAGCTCAAAAAACAAACTATCTTCTGTAGTGCTCACCCAGTGAAAACAGCACAACTGGTGCCAATTCAGGAGCAGCAGGGTAGGGTGTGTTACATTTAAGAGCACAGATAACAGTGAGTCATTACCATGGTTATGGTAAGCCTTTACAGTTTCTGTTTTTAACTGCTCCACATTTTTTGCTTATTTTCAATTCTACATCTTCAAATAAAGATTAGATGGAGGATTGTTTGGTTTTCCCCTTGCAAGCAACTAAAACCTACATATCCTTATTTGTCAATGCCGAGGGAGAACCAGAGGAAATGACTGAGCTGCTGTAGCTCAGTGCAGGCAGACAAAATCTCTGCATAAAGTGTGTTAAAAGTCCATGATGCTACTGAAAAATCAAAGCTAGGAACAGACTACRGGCGTGGAGCAGCACAGAGAAACCTTCACCCAGGGGGTCATCACCCAAGAACAATCCTTCAAACTCCAGCTCTGTGAAGGAATTTGGATGCTGCTCAGTTGCAGATACAAAGTTGGGACTGCCAGAGCTACAGAAACAGATCACTGAATGCAGCTCCCAGATGGGAGTTCCATASAGAGCTTAACTTGCATGTAAAAGAACTGGAAGGATCCTCAATTTTTCCAACATACTTGCTTTTGATTACTAATTAATTTTGCTTTTTAAGGAGGCAGATGTCTCTGATTCTAATTAATATTAAAACTACATATTAATTCAGAATTATTATTATTATTAAATATTATTTGTTAATATGGAGTACTAGACGTGATAAATACATGAGCCTTACCTATCATCCTTTTCAGTAGATAGAAGTCCTTCTGAAAGTGATCCTTCTCTTATTTCTTCTTTTTTTGAATCCTGGCAACCAAGAGGAAAATACACTTTCTCTAACCATTTCTAAAGTCAAWGTTTAAGGGTCTAATAAGAGTATCTGTATTTTTAAGGCACATAACTGAAAATAAAGACCTTCTGAGGAACCAACCCTATTTCTACAAATGCTACATTGGATCTAGACTAGTAACACTGGAAGTTTAGACTGGGATCATGACAAAAGCATCCTGCATTCCTTCATTGAAGCAATGTCCACCCATATCTCTTCATTAAAAGTCCAATTTTACCTTTTGCCAGAATAAATTCTATCAGTTGTGTTTGAGGAACRCTGACCTTGTGTAGGTTCAAACTGGTTTTAAACACAGTTTAAGSTTAAAGTTGAGGACATTTAAATACTGAAAAGTTTCAAAATGAAGAAAAAGTTAAAATGTGAATATTGTTTTCATTCTAAGCATGCCTAGCCAGACACAAATTCAGTCAATAATATTTTTGGGACCATGTTTTGAGAATAGTCACCTTGTTTGCCAGTTCCTGCTCTCGGCTCTGCTGAATTAGCCTCATGTATTTTTCTAATGGATTTGAAGGAGGATCCTTTACATTGTTTTCAGCACCGGAGTTACTATGCTCAGATTTTACTCCCTCTTTATCTTCTATTTCCTCATCTGTTTTCGTCGAGTCTTGGACATACTTTTAAGACACAAAAATAAAAATTGAATACTGGTTAAAAAAATACATTCATACCTTAGTACCTGCATTACATCTTAATCACAGTAAAACATACCACTCTAAACAGCATTAAAAACGACCTAGAAATCCAGAACTCTACTTAAAACACATAGTATTTAAGCTCAAAGGGATTTAATCAAACTCAAGGTCTTCTTACACCCTCTGCTTCCAAGAGAGTACCCTGGACACCCTGACATAGGCTAATGAACAGATGGACACCAACATGTGCAGGTGGTGTCCCACCTGCAGTGGCCACACCACAGAGACAGCGAATGTTCAGTTTGTTCTGTCAGCATGGTGACAGTGGCATCAAGCTTTGGCCACAAAACTGCAGCTTCCCGTTACATGAAGCATGGAAGGAAAAGCATCTGTTTCCAGTGAAAAAGATATTTGGCATAAGGAGACACTCYAGTGAGACTGGTTAATCACACAAGTACATAAAATAACTTAGCCTCTACTACTTTCACTTCATGGAATAAAATGCATTATTAACCAAGTAACACATATAACAATCCTAAAATGCAAGGCACTACAAAGCTGCATTRCTGTCAGAAATTAATGAATAAATTACCACCTCTTTGTTAAGCTTTTCCACTTCTTTCTGCTCGCTTTCCAAAGCTTCCTGTTCTTTCTCTCTTCTTTCTTCTCTTGCTTTCCTTTCTTCTTCTAAGTTTTTCCCCACTTCTCTGTTCTGTTCTTCAATCTGCCTTTGATCTACCACCGCTGTGAAAAATTATTTCAACATCTGTCATTTGATTTATGTAGCTCAGGAATCACTATGTACAAAGAAAATACAAATAACTACCAGGTTCCTGTAAAATGCTAACAGTAAATGAAAAACAACTGGATATATTGTTTATACCTACACCAWACTTATTCTTGGATATCRGGTAATCTTTTTTCCCACCTCTAARCATTTTTAGTYTRATWAATGACTCACCAAGAATTAAGGAGTAGAGCCAAAGTAGMGGCCAGAGATTTGACAGATCTGTGTACTTCTCATTCCTTTCACTGGCATTCTTATTAAACCTTTATTATCCCAAAATCCATGTTACTATATTCTTTCCCTTTCTGAAATGTGGTTGGATACAATTCTTTAAATTCATAAAACAAACTATTTAAAACCCCTTTGAAAATTATTGCAAGACACACTGCTGATGTGACCACTGTATTTAAAAAGCTGTCTACAAAGAACAGGACCAGATAGCAACAAGATGGGCAAACTAAGTACTGGGAATCATGAGAAGTTGAAAAGCTGTTCTCTAAATGAAAATAACCATAATGTTTCCATCCAGAACAATCAGAAAAGCAGCATATGCTGAGTGAAATCATCCTCATCTACMCAAAGAATTAAAACTGCATTGTGATAATACAGTTCACCAACAAAGTCAAGAATAAATTTAAAAAAAAATCCAGACAAACAGTACATAAAATATTTAAACCCTAAGCACTTCATGTCTCATTCCTATCAAGAGCACAAATTAAATTTAACAATTATCCTAAAGAAAAGTTATCCAGAGGCTGGACAGGGGCTTGGGATGGGTGCCAASAATGTTTAAATTAAACTCAAATTTAACTAAAACCAGGGTGAAAAAAGTCATCCTCATAAAGAGCAGCAAAAGAAAACAATCTTTCTTCTTTATTACAGAATTGACACTTTGCAGAAAATTTTTCAACCACACCAGCACACATACCTACAGACTTAAATATTTGGCTGTGTTACACATTTGACATTTTAAAAGTGTACTTTCTTTTGTCTGAGCTGAGAACTCACTTAAGTCCTGCAGYGAAGTGTCTGTTGCTGGCACAGGGGCTGTGACACAGTTTCCATTGACTATGTCCCCAGATGGATGCAAGACATCACTTTCACACTCCTCTGGTATGTCCCCCTCATCTGGAGAAAAAAATTGAACAAAGGCTTCATTATTTTGTAATTGTGAAAGTGGAGCACAGCAATGGACACAGAATGTGGGAATGGCTAAATTAGAACAGAAAAATATCAGCACTAATTGAGAATTTTCCCTTCAACTTGACCATCTCCCTGAGAATTAAGAATTATCATAAGCTGTGTTTGCTTCCTTAATTACAAAATTGTTAGTTTTAAAATTAGCTATTGGAACACATCTGTTTATAAAGCCAAAACTGAAGAAAGATACAACAGAAACCCAAGATGTTTTCATTTCTTTACATAATCAAGATACAAGTCACAGAAAAATTATTTGTCCAAGTTCAGCTCATCCTTTTTATGCATTTAAAAACAATCTCTAACTGTTTGATCACACTCTTTAATGAGAAGCTTGCCTTCTTTGGTGCACAGGACGGATGCTGCTAACTCATACATTCTACATTATACTACCTTCTCCCTGTGYAAGGTGGCTTTGAATTCACAAAAGCACAATTACTGTCCTTCCTCTTTGATCACTGCTATGATACTCAACTGCTTTTGAATTATTTATTTACAAAGTATGCAGAATGCTGTTATCTCATTTGATGTGAGACAGAAAAAAAGAGATAAAACAAGATGTGACCATTACTCTAGATAGCCAACCTGAAATACACAGGATTATTCTCCCAAGCATTTARTGTAACTTAGCACAGATACCCTATATATCTCTTCAGGTTTTGGGTAAAGTTTTAGAAAACATCAATTTTTCATCCTTCAAAYACTATCAATGCCTCAAACGTTTTTCTTTTTCACATTATAATAAAACTGAAATATTTTGCATGAAAAAATCCCAAATCTACCAAACAGATCAGCCTCTCAGAATGGTTTGAATTTCTTTAAAATAAAACTCTTTTAAAGGAACTATGGATGAAAGCATAACAGAAAATTTCTGTCAAACTGTCAGTGCAACTAAGTTAGTAGAATGTTTTCTGTTTCTTACAAAAGCAAGAGTAATTCCTACCAACTTCACCTAGGAAACTAAATTCCATATATGGGTTTTTTTTTGTAAGACCAAAATAATGGGCTATCACACTCAAAAGAAAATATATTCTGTTTTGTTGCTCTCTCTTTACATTATAAAACTATCAACAACAACATTTCCATATGAGGCATCAATAAGCATCAGGATATCATCAGAAAATTCCTTTCAGAAATTCATCCTKGTTAAATATTACATCTAACTTCAAAATGACTGCTAACAACATAAACAAACAAACAAACCCAAACCATTACAGTATGAAACATTTTTAACTACTCTATAAAGGAGAGAAAAGCTAACTCTTTTAGAACATTTTCACTCCCTTTTAAAGGGTGGACAGCAAGAGATGTGTTTTCCCTCAAGAGGAGCACATCACCTAAAAGGAGGTACTGCCAACAGAATCTGCTGATCTTTTCTTTCTAGAACTCACAGTAGGACTAAAAGACTTCCATATTTTCTGGTATCTTCTTTAATTCATTGTTTATTCTACTGTTATCAACTTCACCCTTCATTACATCTTTCTCTTTATTTACTGCTTAGATTTTACTTTCTTATACCCACCTYTCCTGGCAATTTCTCCTGAGCTACCTCCTCCCCTTTTTAGCCATTCTGATTTCCTCCTACATACAGAGATTGTCATTTTTTTCATGCAGTCTGACCCAACTACAGTACTGTTGATTGAAAAATCATCAGCAGATGCAAACTCTAACAATTATTGACTACCACACCTCACTAAATGATGTACCTTACTTGGGCACAGCATCTACTCAGCCCTAATTGCCAAGAAAATGTCAGTCTGTTGTCATAGCAATAAAATAAAAAGTAAAATATGTAACATATTCCCAAAAGTCTCTCATATAAAATTAAACAAATAAATATAAGTCTAATTAAAATGTGAGATGAGTAGAAACCATTAGTGGCTACAGGCTTGGTTCACATTCAAATAATTCATTTAAAGATTAGAAAAAGGAAACTGAATGAGATAAATAAAACCAACCGAGTAATGAGTAAAGCTTCACAGCGACATGCACAGATGAGGYATTATCTTCTGCTAGTTATCACTAAACACTATCAGCACATCTGCTGTTTAAACAAACATCTTTTTTTGGCTGGATCCTTTTAAAATACTGAGAGCCATACTCTCACAGAGTCAGGAGAGTGGGCAATTAATTCCATCTTCCATCTTCTGACCTAACTACAACCAAAAGAATAAGCCACTCTGGGATTCAGGAAAACACTCACACCAGTTAAAACTACTGGTTTCAAAGAAAATATCCCTAACTCTCTCAATACAACAATTACAATCTCTTCACCAATTATGAGTTTAGTTACACCACACAATGCCACATATCCCCCAGCCTCAGGATTTTACAGACGAAATCTGGAAACAGGAAAGGTTAGCTTGCTGTTCACACCTTTCTCATTGACTAAGCCCACAGTTTCACGGGAGATCTGGCTGCTCAAGCTCAACATTAGGATGTCACTCAAATGCTTAAAAACTAAGGACTARGGCCAGTAACTGAGCTTGCTTTTCTCATTCCATATACAAATGGCTGTAAAGTACATTAAGCTTTATTATCCAACTCTTTCTGCAGTACCTTAGTTAGYTCAAAGATTTTTGAAAACTGACCCTGAGCCTACAGAGAGAAGGAAACATTTTATAACACGCAAYCAACAGAGAGCAGAAATGTAAATAAATAAAATGCTGATGACAGAGAAAAAAAATTTAGGAGATAAAGTTCAGGTTTCAGTAACTGAACCACATGTTCCAAAACTACTCAGAAATGGTGATTAATGACAGCATAATTGCAAGAGTTCTCCACACATTTACACACACACCCTAAAACAACTTCTAATTCGTAATACTATTTAAGCCTCAGTTACTGAAGGAAAAATCAAGAGTGCACACAATAGCTACACAAACTTATCTTTAGAATGGTAATACTTTTTTTGATATTGGTCCATGGTGAACACTCCTCAGAGTTTTAATTTATGCAGCAAATATAATAAAGCCTCAATTTAGCTCATATACTGGTACACTTTTCTGTTTAAAGAAAATCCTACACCATTTTAAAACATTCCAAAACAACTGTCAGACCTACAGTGTTAATCACAAGTTTACACAAGATTTCTGAACAAAATCGTTACAAATTTCACAACCAACTCAATTTAATGTCTACTTATTACTATATACACTTATCTAGAGATGCAAGAATGAAGAAAATTTATCCCTCACCATCTGAGACCTTTTTTTTCCTTAATTCCAAAATCAATCAGAAATTTCTCTCTCCAACTACAGTCTTAAACTATGAAGACCATTGCCCTGTAACTGTTAAGTGTTAAAAAACTGTCTGAAATGCACTACAACTTACCTTTGAGAGGAWAAATGTGTTCCTCAAGATCCTCATACCTTAGTTTCTCTGGTTTGTGTTCATCACTGAAATCTTGTTTATCTGTTTGTGGACTCTGAAGTCTGAAAAACCAAGGAAGAATATAAATAATTTAATAAATATAAATGCTGAACTTGTAAGCAAATAGCAATCTGAAATTCACTCATATGTTAAGCAACAGACTAAACCAAACCAAAAATCCATGAAACTTTCTGACTCAAGTTTAGGGTTATTTAAATTCAGTTCTCTAACTTTTACCAAAAATCTACTCCATTTCCCTGCAGTCTTTCCCCAAGGTCTCTCTATGTGACATAAAATCACTGCATTAAACCAAAATTAAAGGAGTAAGAAAAAACAGCAAAACAGGAAAAATGCAATGAATTATGACAGTCAATTGAAATTAAGAAATTTGCCTTTTTAAGCTCTGTGTTACAGTTTAATTCCCATTTTGATGTCATCTTAACAGATGTGTTAAAATGTATTAGGATTAGATGTCTGGCAAAACAGACATGCAGGGGTGAAAATCTGGGATCTATCAAAAATGGGGTTAGTGCCCTCATTCTAAATYCCTGTTTATCTCATCAGGAAGATAATGTGAAAGAACAATGTCTCCCACGTGACCCAGCCACTAAACTCTGACCAGAAGCAGAACAGCAAAAGGAGTGCAGGTCACTAATGAAATTCAGCATCAGCACTTCACAAAGGAGCTTACTTCACACCAGCTGGTGCTCTTCATCACAGCCTAAGAATGTTTGTGCTTACAATTTCAAAGGATACAGGTCTTCCATGGGGCTAATGCAGAGAACAAACAATACAAAAAATGCAAAACATAACCTCAATGAGACTTGTTCATAAACAAAAAGTGAATCTGGGCAGAAACAAATAAATTTGCATTGTCAGAAGGATAATTAAGCGATGTCAGTGGGGAAAAAATACCCAATAAATTAAATAGGACAGACTAAATGAAATTTCCAGCTTTTGGAAGTCTGTTTCATGTTTTGAATCTTTCCTTCACAGAAATGGTCAAGTGCTTAATAATTCTTAAGGGTGCAAGGTTCAAGGACATGCATGCCACTTTCTTCAGTACTGTGTCCTGCAATATTGCTAGAAAGAGAACCCACTGCCTCAGTAATAACCCTCACTTGGCTTCTTAAGGCCTAAACCAACAAACAAACAAAAACGAGGTAATAATCTGCCTTATCACTCTAGTCTTCCTGTCTGTGTTTATTGGCTCTCTTCATACCACTCATATCTTGAAACATAAATAAACAGTCACAGAAGCAATTGTTCTTCCCCACTGACTGAGATCTGACTTTAACAGCTTGTAACGGATGTTACAGCATCATATTCGCTTTTCTTTTCCTTTCAAAGAAGTTCCCATTGCCACTTAAAATCTACAGGTCACAAACTAATCCCACAATACACATCAGTGATGTRGTATTTGCCTAATAATAAGAGTAAATAACTGGAAAAGCCCACACATGCATTTCTCAAATATTTCATGTAACAGAAAACAGTCCAAGGCACATGAAATTAGAAAATACACAACAAAAGAATGTTTTTCTTTTAAGAAAGTCTTGGGAAAGCAGCAAGTTCAAGACAATTATTGGGACCTTATATCCTTGCTTTGTCATAAGAAACCCAAGAAAGCAACAACAAACCATAGCTGCCTTCCCAAAGCCTGTCCTCTGCAACACAACTTGCTCATACTGTTCACTCTTCAAGCAGAATGGAGTCTACAAAATCCTTCAAAGAAGTACAAAGAAGTCCCTCACAGGATTAGAGCATATTCCCCTACCACCTTAACATGCAGGTTAACACTCAACCTTCACTTTTTAAGATCAGAGAAACAGAGGAAACCTGAGACATACCACTGAAAATGTGAGTGAACAGGGAAAGGAGATACTGCCTTTAAGAAACACTTAAAGGAAACTGACCTCACAGTCCCTAAAAATCCCAACARCTCATTTTGAAGGCAGAAAACATAAAGGCTCTCCCAAAACTCTAACCAGGTAAGAGACCCTCTCTACATCAAATGTATTTTGAAGCCTTGATAACAACAAAATAGGAAAGCCCTACCAGTGCCTGCTAGTGCTGCCCCAGCACAAGCTGTCTTCAGCCATCAAATTGGGAAGGATGGCTAAAAGGTTAAGGACAATTCAATTGTCTCTTCTTAGGACAAAATATTAAAATTTAAATACTAGCACTGGTTCTGAAGGCACATATTCAGGATTCTTCGTTTTGGAGAGTGAAGGCAACAGTGGCCATTATGAACAGAAAAACTGAATGCATGGGAGTAAGAGATAGGGAGATGAAAGAGAAGTCATTTTAATGCAGTCCAATGTTTTCAAGGTACTCATCTACCTTAAAAAACACCTTAAAAAAAACGACAAAGGAAAAAAGTTGTGCTACCCATCCTATTCCCACATGCAAAAGAGACTGGAGAATCATACGTTGGAAACAGGCATGTGAACAAGCTCTTCAGAAAGGGAAAAAAATAATAAATTTAGCATTACAGCTTGCTAATGAATGAAGTGAGAATGTACAATTGCCTTGATTTAAGTTCTCAAACAGGCAGAAGAAATTCAAATGCTTCAATCAGCAAAAGCTCATCAGTCAGGTTACAGATGTGAAAACTGGAGACACAACGAAAGAGACATAGCTTTGCTGAAAGCAAACCAAAGTATTTGGCTTTTTTTAAAACTAAGTTCCACTGAGGCATGATATTCAAAACAGAAATTCTTATTCATCTTTAGAAAAGTTTTCACTTATAAAATTAATGGCTYGCTTGATTTGCAAAAGCAGTTATCACCATGAACAATTAGATAAATGTTTTTTTAAAATGTCAGTTAAAAATGTTGCTTTGTAAACAATGTTACCTGATTTTCTGGCCATGACTGGATGGTGAGGAAGGAACAGACTCAGAAGATGAAAGCAAATGTGGCTTTGAAATAGGAGAAAGAACCTGGTCAACACTCCKCTGTGAAGAGGTAAGGGATGAGCTCCTGATGTCTGCACAATAAAAATACCATAATTTTTATTAGTTATTTGTCCCACCATTTCTCAGACAAGGCTGATTGTACAGCTTAGGAAGGAAAACAGGCAAATGCATGAGATAATTTAAAGGAAAAGAAAAAAACTGCATAATCCTTCCACTTGCATATTATGCAGGAAAACAGCTGCTGGATSTGCCAGCTGCAAGTATTTTAGATGAGGACATACTTCTTCCTTTCATTCTCCAGAGATAGATGCTGACAACTGAGCTGCACTTAAAGGAAAAACAAATCTCAGACCCACATGTATGGTATCTTCTACCTCTTTAAATTTACCATGAGCTGTTCAGAGTGATATATTCAATAGCACCTGAAACCTCCACAGAAGCTTCCAGAATGACTTTCAGTTTTTTAGCAAAACCATACCTGGTGCTTCAGCCATCTCTAGCAGAAAAGAATAATATATATGTAGCAGATAAAAGCATTCCYCAGAAGACTGATGAAAGAGACGTGACATCTCAGTGGGGAAGTAATCTTACTGGGAGCTGACAAATCACACTAACTGAAGCTAGCCTTAAGATCCTATCACCTAGCTGCAGCATGGTTTCTTACACTCCACACCACTCCATTTCTGTAACTCCTAAGTCAGGTAAGGCACTCCTTTGTTATTCAACTCCTATCYCTTTCCAGAACCAGTTAATAACATGCTTTAAACAAAAAACAGATCTAAAGGAAAAAACAGATTTGCTATCCTGTAACTAACTTCTGAAAAGAACAAAGATAGGTAGGATTGTTCAGGTTATGCATACAACTGTAGTTTTAATGTTTCCTAATTTTTCAACAAAACCCTTGTATTATGAAAGATTTTGTTTTTGTGCAGTGTCAAACAAATAATCTGTGGGTACTTCATATAGAAGCTGACAGAACTTAAGAGATTGCTTTGGTAGTTCAAGTCTCAAATATGTCTTCAGTAASMGAGTRTGATACTCCACATGCAGAAACACAGGGACAGCCACAATCAATCAGTTTGTATTGTATGTTTGTAACCTGCTTCTAACAGTGCCCATTACCAAACAAAACTAAACTACAATTGAAAAAGGAGAATATTCATATCTTACTTCTGGCAACACTCACCGTGACCTTTCTTCAATCAATACTTTTTTGGATCCTCCTGACAGAGAAGTTTTATTCCTGCATCTATAYTTGTTCCCACRGAAGCAATAAACAAYKTACTATKGTATGAAAAAGCAYTKAAYTTTATTTCATTTATTTAATTTCATTTTATTTCCTTTCAATGGGATTYTGGGGTCTGTGAAGCAGTAATCATCTCTTTTCACCTTTGTCACATCAGTCATTGTTTTCCAGATTTCCCACAGCACAGCAACCTCTCTTCCAAACTAAGCTGCCCTTGTATTTAACCTTCCTTCATGGAGAAGCTGATTGTTATCTTTTTTTTTTGTTACTGTCTCCTTTTTTCATTCTGCTAAATCCACTTCGAGCCAGGGTGAAAAGAACTGCATCACTCAAGAAGCAGATGTACTGCAGATTTGAAACAACAGATTTTTTTTAAAAAAATTTCATTTTGTTTCTATTTTGCTTGCTTTGCTGAGTACTGCTGTCCTTAAAAAAATTAAAAGACTATGGAATTACTAGAAACTGTGATATTAATAGCAAATAAAAAATTTTCCGATCATGACCAAATATTAAACCCTTTCTCCTTACAATTACTGAGGAATATTTGATAAAGGTGTCACAGCAAAAAGAACACACAAAAGGAAATCTGGACCTTTCAGACTGGAAAGTTCAATTTAAGAGAAGCCAAAGATGTCTGCTGCCACACACTTTAACTACAACAGTTAAATGAAWGGTTAGAAATATAGGGAGGTTAACAAATTATAAATAATGTTGCAAAGTAGTTAAACTTAATAGCAACTTTTGAATTAACCTCTGCATATYATAAGGTTCCACCTGTAGTGATTTATACAGCATAATCTTCTTTTGAAGCCTCTCTAAAGCACGTTTAACTTCCCTCAACATACTTCTCCAGAACTTGTTCCCAGGAAGAAGCAATACTCCAAGTAGCTGGTATGTTCTGCCTCCTGCAAAACCACATCTCCTGATATCTCCTGCATCTTAGCAAATAACGAGTGAAAGACAAACACTGCTAAATCTTTGTCYTGTCAGAGCACAAGAAGAACCGTAAGTAAAACCCCAACACTGCACCCCATTAACAATTGTGACTTACCATCTGGAATTTTGTTGTTACTGAGGTCTCCCTTTGATTTGGAAATGGGAGTAGAAGAAAGGCGCCTTGAAGGAGATGCTCCTCGGTGTGGTGGCGTTACGGGATTTTTAAAGATATCAACCTGCCCAGTCCTTTTGATGTGTTCTTTACCTCTTGGACTGCTCAGAGGGGAATGAGGGGCACTGGGATTATCCCCCAGCAGTTCATGCTGGGTAGTCAAAGCGTATCTACTAAGAGGACACTGCAGAATTAAAGGGGACTGCATCTTCCTTGGTGTTCTGCTTACAGCTGCATTCTGTATGACTCTGTGTTGGTAATTCCTGTAGGCTTCTTCCAAGTACTCAGCCTCCTTTTCCAGTTCCTTCACCCTGGCCCGGGCTTGCGCGATGCACTCCAGGTCCGAGTCCGGGGAAGCGCTGCGAGGCTGCGGCTGCTGCCGATGATAGCCAGGCCCTGGCAYATCACTGCCCTTCCCCACATCGGCCAGCCCCGGATTCCTCAGCAACGCCCCATCCACGTAAATGTCGTGGGGCACGATCCTGTCACCAAGGAAGTCAAGGACAGAGCGGTCCACAAGTGATGGCTTTGGGTTCCGATACACCTCATTTTCCAGAGCTACGTGGGAACAAGAGACAGTGAGTGACACTAAAGAGAGAGAGAGGGAGACCCACAACAAAACAGAAATAGTAAAACATGGCATTCAAATTCCAATTTGATCAAAATTATTTTACCATGGAATTGGGATCCATTTTGGGAACTTAATTATTTAACTGAAATTGATTTAAATGTATTTTTAATGCATCTCCAAAAGCTKCAAATTACCACTGTTATTTTTTAATATATAATTCTTCCACATAAAATTACCTTAAGTATATACTCTCCAACTTATGCTTAAAATTAAAATTATGCTTAAATACATAAATAAACATGAAAACATTACTACTTTGGACACATTATATCTAATCATGCTGTTAAACTCTACGGAACACAGGGCATGCCACAAGTCTTAAGAATTTCCCGTTATTTAGATAAAAAAGAATTCTGGAACAAAACAACACAGTATGTAGAAAATGTTTTGGGTTTTTTTTTAAATTAAAAGTACTCTAAAATTGTCAGTTAAACTGAATGTTTTGGGGCTGTCTGCTTCTTCGCACTTGCATGCTTCAACAAGTCTGTAAGACTAATCTATAGGGCTGTACTCTTTCTCAACAAATTTACAACCTTGTTTTTATTCTACATAAATGGTTCTTCAATGACTTCATTAACTCTGATGTAAAATAGAAGTTCCTAAAGTACTTTCAGTCATTGAATTTAAATACATATTTGCTATTTTGATACTAATAAATTTCCAATTCCCCATGGTACTGATACATGTACCACAAGTAAGTACATATCAGTCTAGTGAATAATGTAAAATATTGCATATAATGAACTAAGATGCAACACATGTTGTATGTAATATATAATCACTACAGAATTGGATCCATATTTTTACATTAATTATACATACCAAAACTTTTTATTTATAATACTTGATATTAGCAAATTACCAGATAGGCCTCTTTAAAAAGTATACTTCTTCAGCAGGCTGAATTGCTTTAGGTAAATGCCCCTGTTTCTAATGCCCATACAAGATAAGTTAAGCATAAGTTAGGCAGAAGTTATTAGACTTGACTAAATATGTTTAGGAGTTAGACTCAAATTTCTGAGGTATGAAATACAATTTCAATTTGATTATTTTTATTATGAACACTCAAGAATCAAAATGCATTAAAACACAAGTTGCCTGCTGGAAAATGCTGCTTATGTTACCAGCAAACATTAATGTCTTTATACTGATGGAAAAACAGACCATAAAAATATGCAAGTGTTCAGGGGCGAGTATTTTCCCTTCCTCCTATATGTTTGTTTTCTGAAATGAAGTTGTAATGAGTCTGCTTTTTAAACTGGGCTTTTAAACAGGTTTTGATTTTAAACTTAAAATCTGCTACCTGGTGCTGTATTAGTTCTACACAACAGCAGCTTTTTTAAGCTTCTGGAAATTCTTACACTTGTCCTTCATAAAGGACCACTCTGGAGAAAGATACAAACCTGCCTGTGTTTGTTTCACTTGCAGCTTTAATTCTTCAACYTGCACGTTTAACTTCCTGACATTAGCTTCAGACTCTAACAGTTGGGCCTTTAACTGGGCACAACGCTCAACCTATAAGAGATCAYGAGAAAAACAAAAACCAGCATAATTCAAACAAAAAGAACAATCTCAACTGGCCAAATATTTGGTTTCCAAATTATTTTCAGGTCCAGTCAGACAATATACACACAGTATCCAACTGAAAGTCAGCACTGACAATTTATTGACTCAGTAAGATTTACTTTGGTTATGTTGGGTTGGTTTTATTTTTTGGTACTTTTCTGGTGTGGTGATGTTTTGTTTTCTTTAGAGTTGTTTACATAAAAATAAGCACAGTACAAACAATCCTTGTAACTGGATGCCAAACAGCCTGCAAGGGTAGATGGATAACTGTGAAACAGATGACAGGAAGAACCATTTAGAAACAATAATTTACCTCACTTTGTAGCTGCTTTTCCAACATCTGCTTATGACTTTCAAATTCATCCTGCATCAGCTTCCTAGAATGCTCCACTCTCTTCAGCTCCACTTGGCAGGCCAGGTACTCTGCTGAAGGCTGGGACAGCTCTACCCAAAAAGGGAAACACTGGACACTCAGACAAAGAATAACAACTGTGCACTTCTACACAATACCCCGCAAACATGTAAAGCTGTTTTGATTTTAGGAACGTAATAAGGCGTTGTCTGAAAAAARGTACTTGGGGATATTCTTCTTCATTTTACAAAGGACCAAAATCTTTGTTGGTGTAGTCCTTTAGGAACTAGACTCAGGCTGTCCTACACTGGRAAAAAAATACATACCTCATGTAACAGTGCATACATCTCTACTCTTCTGCAATCTTAAATGCATGYTAAAAATATTTTGTACTTATTACTATAGTGAGCCAAGCAGTTAATTACACTAATGCTATGGTTAGAAATACTGCACTGCTTTTTCCACAGGGTGAAAAGAATATCCTTCTATATTACAGGTACCTCTTAATTCAGGATTTCTCCCATACAGACATATAAAAGAAAATAAATTTATGCCAAGGAATGTTTAATTACATGCAAACACTAGCTTGGGCTTCATGCAAGCTACTAGCAAACATAATACAAAGAGGGCATTTAAATGAAAATCCACTTCTAAATAAATACTTGTAAGAGAAACATAAACAAGAAAATTACTAAATCATTCACACTGACTGTCTCGAAGATGCTGGTTCTCACTGCGAGTCTCATCCAACTGTTGCCTAAGTAGTTTATTCTGCACTTGGAGCTCCAATTTCTCCTCTTTTAGYAAAGGATAGTCTGACACCTCTTTCAGTTTTTCTGTCAACAACTGATTCTGTTTATTTACCAACATAATCTGGGCCTTCACTGACTCCAAATCCAGCTGCAAAGAAAGAACAGTTTAGAAGCTTATGAACCGCTGTACTACTTMACAATTATTTTTATTTCACATTTTCTTTTTTATTTGTAACACACCTCAACTGCACCAATTAGAATACAGCTTCTTTAAATTCAYATTTGCAATTACCTCAAGCTCTTTCGTGCGTGATACAGCTTGCTTGAGTTCCTCCTTTTTTGAATTAACAGCAAYGGCTTCTTCATGCAAAAGCATAGCTTTCTCTGCAGGGAGGATTACAAATGCTGAATTAAAATTAGTAGAGTATTACAGTAAAAAACTGTATCAGCAGAAAACAGTTTTAAGCTGCTAAGCTGAAAATTCAATTTAATTTAAGACATAAAAATGACTGAATGCCATACACACGCCTTCAAAATTAAGTAAATCATACTGTATGTATAAATGTATACATATGCATATACACGTTTAGAAAATAAGTAAATCAAATTCATATGCCTATGATACATCATTTCTTACAAGTCCCTAACTTAAAAGCCTAACCCTGTTATCTGTTCCGGTTCTCTTCCACAAGTTCCAATTAAACATCTTGTGCACAATAAATGTAGAAACTGGCAACTGTTCAGGGTACACTACCAGAGTTCAGTTAAAGCCTGACTGAGCTAATAGGACTTCCGAAAGAAATGGGACACTGAAAAACCAGGAATGCTTTGCAGCCTCTGTGCAAAGCAGCAGTTTATGGTTCCCACTGCATTCTGAACAGCAATGAGCTGCTGAACTGTCACTGTTGCTGAACTGTCACTGTTGCTGAACTGTCATCTGTTCTGAGGCTTTTTTGTCCCTTATACCACTGAACACCAGGACTGTTCAGTAACAACAGTGGTTTGGCATCTGATAGTAAAAGCTCTAAACAGGTACTTTAGCAATCTCAGGCAGATGGTTACCTTTATTTTTTTTCTCATCTTCAGTAACTTTATTGGTTCTGGCTATGTATTCTTCTTTTAATTCAAGCTGATACCTAGAAACAGAAAGAATTATGCATTCCCAAAGAACGTGTGTGCACAGGCATTTGTGTAATTCCATTCCTTCCCAAACTAAACTATAATCACACAATTATTTATTGACAAAATTRATTATCACAGAGAGACCAAAAGGGCTTGAAAGAGTCCTGCCAATCATCTCATTCAACTGCCTCCTCAAAAAGCCAGACTATTGTCACCTGTTGAGCAGGGAAGCTGTGCCTCTCCTAGCCCAGTCTGGAAAACCTCAAAGGACATATATTCTACCACCTCCCTGGATGATCTGTAGCAATGCTGCCCTACTCTCCCAGTAGAYTTTTTGCTTATGCCCAAGCTAAATCTCCCAAGCCACAATTTCCAGCCCCTGCCATATGAACTCAGAAGTCACATTTCAGAGTCCAGTTACTCCCCTGACAGACTTTATCAAGCCCTTTCCAGTTTCTTCATGACTTTTTTGAACAGGGGAACCCAAACCTTGGCGTGGTATTCCTAGCATATACTTCCCCAACACCTTAAGGGGACAGTAAGTTCCCTCAGTCTGCTGGCCATGCTGCTTCTAATCTTACCCATCATGTTTGCCTTATTAGCCAGAGCATGCTGCTGGCTCATAATCAACCTAGTATTCACTGTAAYTCACCCACTTCCTCTTCAGAAATGCAACTCCTCAGTCAATTCCTTTTCCCCATTTATACAACTTCATAGGGCTACTCTGCCCTGAGCACTGAGCTTTGCAGTTTTCCTTGTTAAAATTCCTAAGATTTGCACTGGCAGAATCCCCAACCTTGTCAAAGTCTGCCTGAACTGAAACTCTGCCATTTGTTGTGGAAATGATTCCTCTTAATTAAGCCTCATGKTCAAAGCTGAGGATGCCCTGTGCCCACATCCAGACAAAGGTGTTGGGCAATAAGGGCCACAGAACTGGCCCCAGGGATTCTCTGCACACCACCACCCACCAGTCAGACACAGAGCACYACCCAGGTACACCACTATTCAGAGCCCAACACTCATCTAACTGTGCCATTCCATTGCACTGGAACTTATAGGAGCTAAGAAAGTTCAGCATTTTACATGACTGRGACATAATTATAAATGGTTTCAGATTTAGCCAAATCCACCCTCTTGCATTTCTGCAAATGGTGCAGACCACTCAGATCCTTATCCCAAGTATGGCGTTTAATGTTTACTGAAAAATAAAATTATTAATTTCCTAGCAAGCATCACTACTTCTGTACAATAAACAGTAGTTCTTTAATGCTTTTCATCAATTATTTAGGATAAAAGAACATGGATCTTGTCTTTCTGAGCACCTGCACCATGCTTTAAAACATTTTGTATGTTGATACAATAAGTCAAGCAGCAGTTTATCCTCAAAATGCTTTGCTTCTCCTCTTGTACTGGAAAGACTTTGCAATCAGTATTTGTAATTAACTGTTATATACCAGATAAAATAAAATACCAAGGTGAGTCAGTTGCATTTCACAATTCTCTAACAACACAATCAAATGCCAAGAGATTATTTTTACCAAAACCTACTTTCAACATCTTTGSTCTTTAATTTAAAGACCTACAAACACAGGTAACAGTGTGCATTGGTTTGCAATAAAACATAATGATACCTCAATCATTTGGTTTAAGTGAGACAGGTTTGTGACAYGCCAAGAGCACTTGTCTGCATTAAAGTATCAAGGAACCCTTCAAATGACCAAGATACTACAAGAAAGTACAACTGCAAAGTTAGGATATACCCACTGCAATACCCCAAAAGAAATCATGGATGACTGCCAATTCCCTAAGACAAGGTTCAAGCAGAAGGTAGCCAATAGAAGAGGGAGATCTATATCAGAGAATCCCTCTTCAAAACTGGGAAGGGGTGAAGGTAAGAGCCAGTCTGTCTGTATAATGGACTTGTGTGTCTCACCCCTTTTCCAAGAAACTTGTAACATCTCTTTAACACTGATTTCCCCTTCATGCCCCTTCGGCATACATAAAATGGTCAGTTCTTTTAACTGTGGTCAAAGGAAGTAACTAATACTGCTTCAGATTCTCTTGTCTAAATATACAAGCTAATGTCAGATCTCTCTTCCAGATATTGACACAGAATTTAAACTACAGCAATAATATAACCTATAATCAAAGGAGAATTATTTTCTATAGTAAACTTACTAGCATATAGCTAAGCAGWAACGTAAAAGATTCAATCTGAYTAARAAAAAKAYAGGTGCACATTTTCAAAGTTCTTGCTCTGTTAYGCTTTTCAAAGGAAATCCTACAGAATTTAGTATTCTGATTTCATAGAAAATATTATGTGTCCTATTGAGACAAATAAAAAATTTACTTTAAGAGTTCTGTCTTCAGCTTTTGGTCGTAWGTCTCCTCTATGTTCTTCACAGCAACTTCACGACGCCGAAGTGCATCATCTATAGCTTTATTTTTCTCCTCCTGAACTTTCTGGGTGCTGAAATATCCAGAAATATACAGACAATGACCAGTTATAAAGTCAAAGCTTTAGTTTGGTATGGTGTTTGTTTTTTAGTTTTACAATAACATTTATAGACATCAAAGGGTAATGTGCTTGCTTGGAACACTGTAGCAATTTGAAATGATCACAGACTCTGTCACTGTAGTTCATTAAGAACACGGAGATGTGACACAAATTAAATTGCCCTATTTAAAATTCCAATCAATTATGCAGCTATCCCAGGATAACCCTGGCTCAGTTTCCCACACCAGAAACACTTCAAAGGGAAGAGTGCTGAGCATGCTATTCTATCAGCACCCTCTGCTGGGTTGATAAAAAACCTCAAGTTTTTGTTAGCAGGATACTCATTTTGCTACAAAAAACAGATGACAAAGCAACAACATTAAACCGTATTGAAAGTTTGGCCCAAAATGGTTATTTCTTTTATTTAACTAAAGAAAAGTGATCTTATTAAGGGCATATAAAATAAAAAACAACCCACAACCCCAAAACATAAAACTAATGAGACAAAATAATCATATACATGTCTCATGAGTGTTAGAGTTACATACTGTGTTGTTTGGGGGTGTGTTTCTTTTATTTAAGCAATTGAAAGCAAACCTCTTTGGAGGTTTCTCGCCTCCAAAGCCATGTTGAACTTGTTTTGGTTGGATGAGGTRGAATAGAAAACAACATCTTTTTGTATGGGATATCCCTGCTGATAGAGACAGTATACAATACTGCTCAAAATGTAAAACATAACTTCTGGAATATATAATCTACTTCAACATTACAGAAGCAGAAACATCTTGAGGCGTGCTTTGCAGAAGCTTCATTTAGCATTGCATACATCCTTCAGCAACTTACATTTCAAATRCCTCCATCCTTTGCTTCAGTTCTGCCTCCCTGGTCCTTATGGCTTCAATATCTTTCAGTAGACTCTGTCTCTGAGCATACACTTCCTTTGCTTCTATCTGAATCACAAAGTATTATCCTTAGTTTTTCTTCACWCTTGATACTGATATTTACTGTTTAACACATTGAAACTTACAAGGTTCYTCTTCAGGGACTAATTGATCTTACTCCCATAAATACTATTCACTGAGTCAATATATGAAGTACTTAAAATTCATTCTGGATGTTATCTTTTTTTAATTCCCTTTCTACTTTCACTCAGAATAAAATGTTTTGGATGGAGTATCTTCTGGTTACCCATAAAYACCTTTCCTTTAAGAAACAGCACTGATTAAAACTCATGTAAAAGGAAAAATGGTTTAAAAAAATTACAGAATAAACATGTTCAAACGCTTGAATTTTTTTAATAAACAAGTTTGTATGTTCTTCACAAAAATGTAATAAAAAATACCAAAATCCACTAATAAAAGTGACTTAAAACTGAAACTGAGTAAACCTCAATTTAATTTATAGAACTCATAAAAAATTGTAAAAGGGATTCTCCAAGTGAGGAACATATTAACAACATAGCCCTCATATCTTACTATTGATAAAAAAGGCATTTTTTGCCCTTAAGCACAAAAGACATTATTTTGCTCAAAAAAAAAACCAAAAAAAACAAAGCCGAAGAAACAAACCAGGTCTAAGAAGACAATTATGATTTTGCCATATGGACCCTTACATCAATTTTGAAAGCCATGTGTATTTGACAGTTGATACAAAAGACAAAGTAGTTTCTCAAGCCACATTTCTTGGACATGAAACCATCATAGTGAAGGGTTAAATGTCCTGACATCTTTAATGTAARTATACCTGAACTCTGTTAAAAGAATCCCCAGGTAAATTAAACATAAAGTTCTCAGCGAGAGCAGAAGCTGACAAAAGCAATCAAATATTCATACACAGTATTTTACAGCTATGTTGATCTAGTCATTGGTAGAGTTTTCTCTAATCACTGAATTAWTTTCATGCCCACAGAAGAAGACTGATAGGATAACATAGATGTTTTCTTGTCAGCTTCTAAGGACATAACCATGAAATAAATTCATGGCAAGGTGAGAAAATGTTTAAYATTATAATTTATATAGAGACTTGTACAATTGCTTTGTTAACCAATACCACATGTTCTCAGGGAAAAAAAACAAGACAAGCAAAACCATAATACTGCTGCACCAAAGCAAAATTCTGGTAAGCATTCATGGATATGAAGGTCTATTGCAGTCAGCAGGGAGGTGACCAGACAGAAGGGGCAACAGAAGACCAAACAAACCATCCTCTCAAAAACTGAGAAGTAACGGAGAATGGGATAAGCAGCTGAGAACTACACACAAATTATTGTGTGCTGTGGTAACAGTTACTACCCTGGCAAAACACCAAGAGTTAACAGCCCAAAGGAGYAACTCGYCAACACAGAAGTGTTCACAGRAATGAAACGARTTGCTAGCTTACAGTAAAGATGGTRGTTATTCATAATAATGTARCTAAATRYAAGAATGTAACTAAAAGCCATGTTAAACTTTCTATGAAAAAAAATCAGTGATATGAATTAAGCAAAATTATTAAAACAGATTCAAAAGTATTTATTACATTTAGATCCCAGTTTGCAGAACAGCTGCATTTCCAGMCACCTCTACTTAGATGTTTAACCATACTCATTCTTGCAGTTGCTAAATACATGCCCCTATTTATGAGAACAAAGTGAATTCAAAATTTTCCCAAACAAGACCTGAATGTAAATCTCCCAAAGATTAAAAGACAGTCTAACAAACTCACTGAATCATTTAACAACACATTAGGAAAAAATATTGGAACTTCACCTCTTGTTGCTTTTGAAGCCTCTCAATAGCATTCTTTTCACGAGAAATCAAGGCTTCAGACTTTGCCTGATGTGTCTTYTCTAACTCATGGCGCAGCTCAGAGATTTCTTTCTGCGTCTGCACTTTCTCCTCCATTTTAATCTTTGCTATTTCAACTTCTTTAAAATGTTCMAGCTTTTACATAAAGGAGGAAGAGAGCGTTAAATTGACCATCTTCAAATCAACAAAGACAATTCCTCATAAGACAATCCAAAATTTCATCTCGAAATTCTAGCTAGAGAATGATAATTTGATACAAATTAATTACAGCACATACTATTTGCACATCTCACATAGATTTGATGTGTTTATCTGGCATCCCAAAGCAGATCTTACACAAAACTATCAGCTTTAGACAAGACAGGAAAAGAAGCCTATGAAGAAAAACACACTGCAGGAGTGATATTCTCCCTGGATTCAAGGAATGGCCACACTCTTTAAGTCCTCCTCTGACAGTGTCTTTACTCTYGTCCCTCTCCCAAAGAATCACTTTTGACTAGTGATTCAAGAAATGGCAGAAACAGACCCACAGCCTGAATTGCTCAGAAACCACAGAAAGTGTATATTCCCTCAGCTCCATTTTTCAGATATAAGTATTATCAAAGGATTRTGTGAAAAAATTCTAATCTTATTCCCAAAATGAAGCAAAATTCTCTAGAAGAGCTGTCTTCAATTATAGGAAGAAAAAAAATCAGAAATTATTCATAATACTGTGTGTTCTTACTTTAGTGTTTCTGGGCAACACTTTGAAACAGAACACAAATCCTCAACGGCATTAAAATTTAACTCTGTTAAGCTACACAACAGCAATTCACACCTCTCAGCTGCCATGCATCCCACTGAAATTCAAGCATCAAAATCTTAACTGGGAAGGAAAACTATACTGTGGTATTGAGTAAACATCTCTCCATAAAACAAAATAATCAAAGAGCAGATAAAATTTACCTATTAACACAACCAGAGTAAGTAAATGTTGTGCTACAAATTAACATCAGAATATAAAACTTGAACATTCTGCACACACTTAACAAAAAAGAGAGAGGGCAAATATAAACACTGTATCATCAAAGCAACAATATATTGGATTCGTCATTTGTGCTTGTTGTAACTAAGTATTGTATCTTTTCTTTCAATTTACCTTAAGTATTACAAGTTTGCAACCTGCAAAGTCAAAATGAAAAAATGTCTCCCGCAAATCCATAAACCAGTTATACCTTTTGATGCATTTCTTCTTGAAGCTGCTTCTCTATTTCTTTTCTATATTCATTAAGTTTTACTTCTAAAGAYTCATATTTCTGATGCTGAGGATAAGAGTCTGCAAACTGCTCATCAATCATCTGAAGCTTCTCAGCTATAAAAAAAACAACACATCCATCATAATTTAAAAACATTCACTCCATTTACCATAYGAAATACTGTAGGAACCTCTCCGCAGGACATTCCTCAGTTTATCCAAGGGGCATTATCCTAGAAAGACTTGTGTGGTGCAAAAGCAGAGGCAGCACTGAAATGCCATTTATCTAATATTAATATATTTTCATATATATATATATATATATATGTATACAAAAAAAACCCAAAACCAAACCATAACATATACCTCAGAGGAGGCACTTGGCTGTTTAGGCACTGTTTGTGGTATTACATGTCATTCATCCTCTTCACCATGGGTGGACAAGAATTTTCTTCTGTATTCAATTTCTTGCTTTTTTGTATCARTATCTTAATAAGAGCATGCATATTATATATTCAAATATTCTCAATCTATGCCTAACTCACTCATGGAAAGAGGGCACACCTTTACAGTTATGTTCTCCAGAATATATTCCAGCATGTAACATTTAGAGTCCATTTGTCACAGGTCTTAGTTAAATCCCTAGGAAAATACCYGAGTCAATTAAAAAAGAAATTCTTAACCTGATTTTGCCTTACTTTAAGAAAATTTAGAAATCCCATGTTCTAGTGACAGACATGATGTTTACTCATTACTATTTTAGGCTGCATTTGAGTAAGCAATGGAAGAATACCATTCATACAATACATATAAAGCCATACCATATACCAGTATGAAAATATCTGGGGAGACTTGCTTGCACAGGCTGCACTTACCAAGAGATTCTCTGTAAGGAGGCACTGAGGTGGTCTGAGTTYCTATGTTATGAGTTTCTCTATTCAGATGATGTTCTGTAAGTCCATTTAAAACTTGCATAAGAAAACCTAGCAAGAGCCAATAGATGAGTTAGTTCTGACTGCATGCTAGAACAGAATTTTAGTGATTAACAAAGCAATTTTCAATGTACAAGAAAACCTATTTGATTTACAGAAAGAATATGTATTTCAGTCAAAATCTATACTAATAAACCTATGCTTTTATTATAAGCATAATCCAATCCATGACAGTCAGCAAAAGCTGTCCTTTTGCAACTTTTTCCCCCATCTATGTCTCTTGACTCCCAGGGGCAAGTGAGTGAAGATTATTAAGCTTAACTATGAGGCCTTCAGGGAAGAGGAGTTTTTGAAGATGAAGCTCCTTTGGGTTATACAATATGGCTCTGTTTCTTCAYGCAGACATAAGAATTATTTCTTATATAAAACACTGGAAAGTCAATTGTATCTGTAACTAGTTTTTGAAGTATACTCAGCAAGCTAACACAGTATTATAAACACAACCCAAAACCTGAGTTTCCCAAAGTTAGCATGAAAAGCTTCCAAAGAGCATTATATTTAATACCTGATTATGGATTTTTCTCATATTTCTAATGTACCATTTATTTTGTAAGTGAATGTTAACAGTTAATCCACATCACAAACAGGAGTTGGATAATCCTGAAATACAACATTCATCATCCTGCTGTACAAGTTTCAAAATCTGACTAAATCCATATTACTCCCTACCAAYATACACTCAAGAAATCTGATTTTTTTTCGCTCACATCTTAATAAAAATGAARCTAACACAATTATCCTTGTCTGCATCAAATGTAAACATTTTGTACCTTTGTTTTCCTTCTGAGTTCCTGAAGTCTGTAAGAAAGAAAAGTAGTTTTAGTCAGTCTGTTTTCATCACCACTATAATTTAAGCTTATTTTCAAAATGTAAATAACTTTACCAGTGATTTGTAAAGACTGGATTTTGGACTGATCCTCATTAATTGAAGAAGATCTTGCATAGTCCACAGCTTCAGGGAAAAGAAAGATCRGTTGGAAAATTTCAAATAAGTAATTAAAATAAATAATTTTAAGTATGTAAAACACACTATTTCACAGCCGTAAATGTTCACTGTTTGTGAAAGATCTATTTACTCTCTGTAAAATCAATTTCAGAGGCCTGCAGTTCTGCATTTCTTCATCTTCACTACTTAAGTAGTGAAGCATGTAGCTTCATCATCAGCTGAAGCTGCAAAAAGAAAGTTTTGTTCCCTATCCCCACTCAACACGTCCTTGCTACTTTCACACAGAATCACACAGAATGWATCAGGCTGGAAGAGACCTTCAAGATCATCCAGTCCAACCTATGACCTAACACCTCCTCAYCAACTAAACCATGGCACTGAGTGCAACATCCAGCCTTTTTTTAAACACRTCCAGGGACAATGACTCCACCAYCTCCCTGGGCAGACAATTCCAGTGTGCGATCAYCCTTTCAGTAAAGAATTTTTTTCTAAATCTAACCTAAACTTTCCTTGGCACAGCTTCCTTGTGTCTTTTCTTGATTTACCATAYAAATCGGATGAGCTCACTAACCCAAAGGATGATTAACTACTTACCAGGTCAAAAAATTAATTTTCAGTTAGAAACAATTTCACCCTATTACACATTTATAGAGGAGAAACAAAGGAAAGGCAGGGACTGCCCTTTTCAGCCACACTTAGTGAGAGCAGCTTGAACTGAGCAGGAGCTACATTTTCAGGGARTTGAATGGCCAAATGAGCTTTYATCAGGCTCAGTTTCAAAGTGCTCKRCTRSACASCCAGATTGTGGCTGCACCTTTCCAGAACAGCATTATTAAGCTTATTGCCAATCTAAAACACTCACGAAAATGACCCTGAATGATAGAATGTTTTGTGGAGATGATCAGAAGCTGCATTTATGTTTGTATTTCCTATCACAAAAAGGGTTTTTTCTTCAACTGTTAGAATATGACAACCCCCAGAGAACAAAGTTCCTAGATATCAAGGAATAGGCAAAATACTAAACTTACCTTCTTTTTCTCTAATCCACTTTCTGGAAAGAAAACAGAAAGGGAATACTCRTAGCCACATCTCTGTAGATGATCTGCCACCAAACTGTTGGAAGCAGTGATCAAAAGTGAACTGTCTTCACTTGGAACCATCTGTGGYTGAAGTTCTCCACTCAAAATTGGGTGCATTAGTTCATGGATTAGCTGATTTCGGAGCTGTGTCTGATACAGGAAAAAAACCAAAACATTGTATGATCAGTTTACATGTGATTCAATGAGACTTTTAATTTTTCAAAATCCACAGGGAGCCTCATTTTTCTTGTACAACCTACATAACAGAACAGGGCAGACTAATTCTGGCAAAATCTAGCAGTGTTCTWTGGGCATCATGCCTTTCTTCAAAACACTCTGATGGTGGATCCAGTGAACTCTGACTTTCCCTCAAAATGTATCAAAAGCAACACTGAAAAGAAGGTCCCAGTCAAGAGCTCACATAAACATCACTCTTGTACCCCCACCTTCATTTTCAGATCACTGCTTTCCTGTTTTCCTTCATTTTGAGATCACTGCTTTCCTGTTTGCCTTCCCTTTGGCTTAAATAAAGCCTGCCTGACGTGGCCTCTATTTCAGGTGTTCTTGGAATCCTCACCGATCCTCCTTTGAGTCTCATATCAAGAAGCTGTTCATGCCATCACACATGGATAGCAAAATAAACAAAATATTCATAGTCTTTAATATCAGTTATTTTATAAGGAAGCAAAAAGGTACTAACCAAAAAGATCTACAGGCACTAATAACAATTAAATGCCATCTTAAAATTATTTATTTGTGTTCTATGAGTTACAACAGAGAAAAAAGTACCCYAAAATCAGAAAATCTCCCTTCTGTAAAAGGAAGAAATAATTATTTTCATTATATAGTTATACAAATTGTTTAYAGAATACAAAAAGGTCATGACAAAAATAGTATTTTAAGCTTTCAACAGCAGGTATGCAGCAGTGACACAACCAAATAAAGAGGCAGTCTGTTACCAATAATGCAACAAAATACTTACTGAAAATTAACAAAGCCAGGTCATTAGATCAGCCTGATATTTTAGCGTGGTTTTAAAGAGAAATTAGGCTGACAAAGCAATTACAGACYTACAGAAWATTCTGAGTTGGAAAGCATCATTGAGTCCAACTCTCKAATACAGCTGAAAAAAACTGTTTTCCTTAAAAATTTCTGAACTTGTCCAGTTTCAACCAATTTTATCAGAGGCAATGTCTTAAAAAAACCCAATTACAGCGACCTCTTATACATCTTGTGGCAAAGTGCAGTGGAAAGCACAGGGCTAAATCCCCATCCCTAGTATGGAAATGGAAAGCAGAAATAACTTTCTAGACAAGGGACACAAAGCAGGAAAGTGGGCTTAATTAGAAAGTCATCTGATAGACTATTAGTTAAGTCAAATCAGAAATGGTTCGAATATTGCAAACTTGGTGTGGAAATCAGTAATGCAGAAACAAGTTGTCCTGAACAGGAAATTCTTGGCTATAGGATTATAAATGATATTTTTGAAATACTGATCTTGAGGTTTTTCCTAAGATGTTCTCCTGAACAAGCAGACAGGGACAAAACAGCTCAAATAGTTTAAAAACAGGACACGAATATTTTAGAAACGTTATTCATATAGCATGCTTACTTCTAGTAGATAATAAACAGCCTGAGAGATCCCTTCCATTTTTATATTCTAATTTATTGTTCTCTCCCCTACATGACTTTTTTTTCAAACATACTTATTTTCAAAGACCTAATACAGGCTTTTAATCTTCCCGAAAAAGACTCGGAGGACAACGCACAATGAAAAGCCATTCTGTTCAGGGAGAACCTCCAGTGTGGGACGAAAAAAAACCCAAACACAACACACCTAACATTAATTAGGCTGTGTCAAAAATAATGTTTTGTGGAGAGAATGAGACACTTGCAACTGCTCTCAATGTTAAAGCAGTACAGCGGATCACAGGTAGCACCTCGTGAAAASAAAGCACACCTTAAGTGTGTCCAGTACGCCTCGGTTCTTAAATGTCTGATACAGCCTTTTCCGGAGTTCCTCTTGGGACAGTGTCTCCCTTTCAACAGAAGCCATCCTGCCCTACAACACCGAAACAAAAAGGGACATTAATAACTCGCAGCTCGACCCACAGCCAGCGAGACGCCGAGCGCTCTCGCCGCCCCCGCCTCCCCTCAGGCTCGCTCGGGCTTTCCCGGGGCTCGGGGCAGCCTCCCGGGACCCACAGGGAGGGCAGCGGGGCCGGGAGCGGGGTCTGGCAGCGGGGCCGGGAGCGGGGCCGGGCTCGGTGGGACAGGGCCGCTGTGGGCTCCCGGCTCGGCCGCGGCGGCGCTGAGGCGTCACGGTGGCGCCGGATGGGGCGGGCGCAGAGCGGCGCTTCCGGGCGGCCGCGGGCGGCGGACGGGGTGCGGTGCAGGGTAGGCGGCGGGCTCGGGCGGAACCCTGTGGGCCAGACTCCTTCTCCCTCCCCGCCTGCCTCCCTTTCTGTGCCGCGGGCCCCCCTGGCAGCCCCACAGAGACGTCGGGGGTTGGGGGACGGTTCGGCCTTTCCGGGTACCTCTGAGGTGCCCGGGGATGGAGCCGCGTACGAGGGAGGAGGCGCCCTTCCCTTCCCTTCCCTTCCCTTCCCTTCCCTTCCCTTCCC